GTGAGCGCCACTCCATCATCCCTCCGCCTCAATCTCATAACTATTCGACCTATGCTTCGGCTGAAAGTTGAAATCCTTATGCGCAGGACCCAAAAACATCTCACTGATCTTGATCCAGTCCTTATAATTCCCACTACTCAACAATGTCTCCAAATCACTCCTTCCCCTAAACGCAGGAGGCCGATCCCCGAATTTCGGTGGCAAATACTCCAGCAACCCGATCGGGACGTATCGACAACTGAATGATAACCATTCGAGTAAGAAACGTCGTGTATTGCCCACACCGATTTCGTCTGCGCCCCAGTATTCTAGTCCATGACGACAGAATTTTTCGACGTACGCGAGACGTTCGGTGGCGGATTTGTCGAGGTATTGGTTCTTTTCGATTTCTTCGAAGACCCAGGGTTTGACGAGGGCGCCGCGGCCGATCATTATGCTGTCGACTTTGGCGTTGGAGATGTGTTCGTTGTAGTCGATGTGGGAGAGGATGTCGCCGTTGCCGCAGAAGTAGGGGAGGCCGTCGGAGGTATTGGGCATGTCTCGTGCGTCGGGTTCACGGATGGTGTCTTGGGCTTTGGCGCTATCGGCTCGAAGTTTCTTGACCAAAGTTGCGCATTCGGCGATGTATTCCCAATCTGCGCTGCGAGTGTATCGTTGCTGACGAGATCGGCCATGGAGAGTGATTGCTGCGACACCTGCAGGGCCGAGATTCATATCTTGTGCTTCGTGTCCGCCCAAGATGAGCTTCTGGCAAAGCTTCTCGGCAGTAGGGACTTTATCTTTGGTCCCCATTCTGATCTTCACGGTGATAGGCACTTCTCCAGAAACAGTGTTCATGCCGCGAAGGATCTTTTCTAATTTGCCATGAGCGTCAAGGAGAGCTGATCCTGCGCCGGTGCGATAGACGAGATCTATCGGACAGCCGCAATTCAAGTCGATTGCTCGTAGATTCGGACACAGTGCTGTCAGACATTCGGTGGTCTTCAAGGCTAGCCAAGGTTTGTTGGCAGCCATCTGCACGCCAAATCGAATGTCCTTGCTGTTGTCGTAGTCATGCACGATGTTCTTTGGAAAATAAGCCGGTGACTGCAGCTCCGATTCATGTGCTTTCACCAACGCCCATTCCTGCTTCTCGCCTTGTATCAATGGCAGACCCATTGCCATTTCCGACCATGTGACTTGCGCTCCAAGTTCAACGCAGAGCCTACGATATGGCAAGTTGCCTTGAGTTGTGAGAGGCGCAAGTACTGGAGTCTCAGGGCCATAATAGATGCGCCGTTTCTCTGAAGGCCGTAAGGGTGGCTCGGTGAATCTCGCTGCGTTGTTCTGTCGCTCTTCCTTGGCCTGCTTGCTATCATCGCCACCAGTCTGGGTCTGGTCTAGCCATTTGACCATCTTGTCGGATTTCGGCGTCGGCCATTTCTTCTTGCGGAGGATGATCTTGTCGGCGTTGCTAACGACATTGACCACCCCTACTGAGTCTTCATCTTCGCAGTCTGCTTTGCCATGCTCTGCGAGAGCATTTGCTTCATCCTTCACAATCTGCACAAGCTCTTTCCGGCCATCTTCGTGCTCAATCTCTTTCCCGTGACTCATGGCCCATCTGCATTTCCATCCATCTCTGCACTTGCCCTTTTGCTCGAAGATGGGGCATTGGCCATTGAAGGTTTGCATGTCCTCTCGCTTGCCATGTTTTAGGTAGCGTCTAACATCGTGTTCATGCTTACATCTTGCGCCAAATGAGCAGGTGATAGGCGAGAACTCGTTCGCATGTGCTCTTGACCTGCACAATTGTATAGCATCCTTGGAGCTTCCCCAGCTGCGATTTGTGTTTTGTCCGCCCTTGGTCTTCTTGCCACCCCTACCACCTGTTGTCTCTTCTGACGCCTTGCCTCCCGCTTCGGCGGCATCGTCATCATATTGAGCGCGATTGTCGGACTTGCGATTGGTCACATCCACCAGATATTCCTTCTTGATTGGAGCCACACCTTTCTGCCGTTCTGGTCGCTCTGGCTCTGAAGATGCATTATCAAGTTTGATGCGCTTGTTAGGTGGCTCCTCAAATTCGCCATTGCCCTTCAGTTGTCCATTATGGTCATGGCCATGGCGCTCGATCTTCTGCGCTCGAGTCGTGGCTGAATCACCAGGCAAGATGTCGCTTTGAGAATTCTCTGTAGACGCATCATCAGGCGCACGCCGCTTCAGAGAGTCGGAGGCATCAAGAGGGTTCTCGTTCGACGCCATGTTGACCGAGGCGTCATTGGCGATACGCAATAACAATGGCTGGCAAGGCAAACGCAAACCAATGCGCATGCGAAATTCACTTCCACTCTGGGAGCTTATCGATAACTTTCCGCCTCAAGCCACGTTTGAGTTTGAGCAAGAGCCACTCTGCGATGACGTTGGCGTTGGCGTTGGCGCATGGCATCGCATCGCATCGTGGCCGTGCCAAGTTTGTAGGCTGCTCTTCGTTTGTGGACACCTCTACTACACAGATTGTCATACAAGTTCAGACACTTCACTTCCCTCCTGAAACACTCGACATACCCTCCTTCGTCCGCTCAGCACCATCACGGCCCTCAGTTGGAGTTTCGAGTTCCGAAGTATCTCGCACAGCACAGAAACACCTCCCAGCAACCTGCGAGCTCTTGCAAACAGGAACCATGACGCTCTACTACAGCCTCGTAAGTCTACGTACTCCTGCCCGCTTCCTACTCCTCTTCGTCTCACACTTCATCCCTCCGACATAGCATTGTTCCCAGCAGTCAACATGCCTGGCCTCATCTTCACTCCCGTAGCTTCCCATATCCCACCTCGAGCCAGTGTCCCATGCTGACAATGCCTCTTCTAGGTCTTCGCCCTCCTCGTCTTCGAGATGACCGTCTTCATGTCCCTCATTATCCCACTGCCCTTCACCATCAAGCGCAAGCTGTTCACCTTCATATCCGAGAATCCTCTGATAGCCAAACTACAATATGGATTAAAGGTGGGCTAAACGTGCCATTCACACGCAAGCCTGCGCACTGACCTCATCCAGATCACATTCATATTCATCTTGATCCTGTTCATTGACAGTGTCAACCGCGTCTACCGCGTCCAGGTAGAACTGGCTCAGGCCAAGTACCAGGGTGGAGCGGCAGGGTAGGCAGATTCGGCTTCACATCACTTGAAGTCCCCTAACAATTTCTCAGTATTGCCGCGGTGGCTGGCAGCGAACGCATGGAGGTGCAAGCCCGCAAGTTCTACTCGCAGCGCAACATGTACCTCTGCGGCTTCACCCTCTTCCTCTCCCTCATTCTCAACCGCACCTACGTCATGATCCTCGATACTCTCCGCCTCGAGGAGGAAGTCAAGAACCTCAAGGGCGAAAACCCAGGCAAGACCTCTTCTGGACTTGGTAAGGCTGGCGATCTTGGCGAGATCTCCGAGCTGAAGAAGCAGCTGAAGAAGAAAGACGTCGAGATCGAGGCATTGAAGAAGCAGGCTCAAGGTCTAAGCAACGAGTACAACCGTCTTGGTGACGAGGTCTCCGCTCCCGATAACACCCCAAAGAAGGACCGGTAGATACTGAATTGGACACCCGCATCGAGGAACAACACCAATGAATATGATAACACGGCCGTGAGATGGAGCATCTTTTGCTACCATATGACAAGACACAAAAAGATCGGCCATGAGATGGATAATGGCACAACGGATGATCGAGAGGGAGGTTGATGTACAGGGCATTTAAGAAGCACATGAGCTTCAACATGAAAAGCACGAGCACCACGTAGGACTAGGTATTTTTGCTAGGAAATTAGAAAATGCCTGTCCCCTGCGCAGTTTTCCAAACTGCCAGTCTGCCAATAACGCACCCAGCTCCCTCCACGACCAGCGCAAGTCGCACAGTCTTCAAGATCTGCACAGACCTTTGCGAGCGTTCTCCGCCATCACAAGATCCATTGTATCGTAGCACTAATGCTTCGGGCCTTCACCATTGGTTTCTATTCTGATTGCTTGCACTGCCAAGACGATTGGGGATGGGTTGTCTTCTTCTGGGAGCCAGCATATCAACCATGTTGATATCCTTCCCAATGCACTTGTACTTGAAATATTTCACCATGCAAGACCGGGTGGGCCCAGAAAAGTCGATCGCTTCGTCCCGGAGGAAGGTGAACATCTCCATTAAAAGAACTGTTGTCTATATGTACTCGAACATTGTAGCACGAAGGACAAACAAAATCAGTCAAGACACCGTGAGTTATTAATCCAGTATTCTCGTATTCCAAACATGCAGAGTTGTGAATCGAAACTTCTATACCGTCAGTAAATCGAAGAGCTTCGTAGTATGCGTTTACCAGTACGCCACTTTTTGCGTTGGCAGGAGTTGAGCTACTCACACCTTCTACTTGTACGCCTCGTATTATTGAAAGATATTCATAGAGTCGAAAGGGTAGGGATTCTAGGGAAGAATGTGCGATATACTGCAAGGAAAGCTCTACGAACCTTGGAACAAACCGAACCGGATTAAGATTAGGATTCAAAACGTTCGTAAAAGGACGCTCTTTCCAACGGTATTCTGTTGTCCTTAGCCTAAAAAGTATACAAAAGGTCCTCGTCGAGAAAGTCGGAGAAACGCCTCGCTGCGAATTCTAGTTGGGGCTGGTGGCATGGCGCATGTTATTGAATAGCATACAGAGTCTCTCTTCCATTTTACTTGATCCAGGCAGATCTGCTGTGATTTTCACGAAAGTCCGTCCACGGCTTCCTGTGTGCAGTGGGGTCAAAGTCTTATTTCAGTATAACTTTTTTGGTGTTGATGCTTTTCGAACACGAGATTGAGGATACTTCTGATACAGAGCAGCCTTTAAATACGCTTTTACATTTCACAGCCTTTGACAATCGTTCACGACTCAATGGCGTGGCCGGCAGATAGCTGATAAATGGCACTTCGACGGAGACCATTACCACAGGCAGTCAAACTCCTGTGGTAGATTCGGCCTACATCTCATTTCGGAGCATACTCTTCAATCACACTCCTAGGTTCCACATACTCGCCCAAAGGCTTGTATTCGATATGATGGTACCCGAAAGAGCCTGGTCCACCAATCTCTAATCCCCGTGGCGTGTCGGACCATCTTGGACTACAAGTGATGCCTATGACGAAGACTCGGTATCCATACTTGAATTCAGGAACCCCGAGATTCTTGCCACTGCCAGCGTCGAGGACACAGATCAGATCTGGCACGCTGGCGATGATGCTCTTCGTGCCGTCATCGTCGACGTGCTCGACGTAAATGTTCTCGTTCTTGAACGGGATGATAAGAGTACCGGATTCTTTGACTGCGGGCAGGCGTTGTGCTTTGAGATCAGCAGAGTCGTCGTCTTCGCTTGCGCTTAGGGAGGCGATGGTGATGGTACCGTAAGAATGGCCTTTGAAAAGACGTCTTTCGACGCCAACGATCTTGCCTCTGAAGAGGACTTTAGCCGATTTGGTTCCTCCAACTTGTTCCACGATTTGTTCTGCGACGGTAGACAGCGTGTTACTGACTTCGGCGGTGGCGATACAACGACCAATTCTCCATGCTAACGAGACAGTGTTGAGGACACCATACTCTCTCACTCTTTGGGATGTGGTTGGTCTCGCAGCTTTGCCGACTCGAGAGCCCATCTCTGCGCAGCTGGCTCGTAATGCACGATCGACAATTTCATCATTCGAGGCTTTGGTCATGATGATGGTCTTGCCGTCTCCAGAATCGATCACACATGGAACCAGCTCTCCTGGTGCGTGGACAGCGAGCGTGGTCTGCCAGTAGGTTGGATAGGCGCGACCCATCCAGTCGGCATCTATGACTGGGCGGTCGTAGAAGCGACTCGATCCAACCAGGAAAGGTTCAATGCCGTTTGCACCACCTATCTCTAGGCCCATGACGGCATCGAACGTGTCATCTTTGACATACTCCATAAGTGCTTCAAAGGCCTTGACTGTCTCAAGAGATTGAAGACGTTCATTGGACGTCGCTGGAGAGCCCATATGGCCACCCCAATAAATGTTACCGGGCTCTGGCAGATCCTCAGGACGGATGCAACGCATCTTGTAGCCAGCACGCAGCATATCACGAAGCTGGATTCGTGAGGCCGCTGGACTACCGCCTCCGGCACAGCCAAGGACGTAGCAACCATCCGCGAGGTAGTTGATATCAGTCTCCGTAATTTGCCACTCCAGAATGCCTTGTTCGTTCTTGACGATGGTTGGCTTGTACGTACGAGGATCGACTGGTGGCTCATCCACGACTTTGATGGCAAAGTCCTTGGCTGCTTCAGGTGCACCGCCTTCACCATCTGTCTCGTCATCGTCGAGGGAAGAAGGTTGCATGTTTATATCCAGTTCGCCCACTGCTTTGACAATCGTTCGTAATTGGTTAGCCATGTAGCTCACAGGATAGGTCTCGACTTCTGCAATGATGATGCTCTCCTTGGTAGCACCTGCATCCACTGCTTTCTGGATTGCCATCTCTTTCGCTTTCTCAACAGCTTGCGTTTGGGAGATGTCTGTAATCTGTTGAATGATGTCGACAATTCCTCCGACCTTTGAGATGGCAGCTCCCACAGCATTTGCTACATCGTGATACGGTGGTAGTTTGAGCTCTGATGCTCCTTTGAGAGAGGAGGGAGCCAGGATAGCACCGCCGCCAACCAGAAGCACAGGCAGCGGCTCTGGTGAGGTCTTGATCATGTCCACAGCCCCTTCGAGTAATTGCTTGATTCGCTCTTCAGCCTGAGGAATGAGCGCCTTGTCCAGCGTTTCAACAGCTTTGCTATCGCCCATCTGTGCCTTGCCCGCTGCCACAGCAATGTCAGATGAGGTGAGAACTTTGCCGCCAAACACAAGAGCATCGCGTGTGAGGTAGTGTCCTACAGAATCCGGGCCAACTGTGACCTTTCCATCTTGCTGTCGAACGATGGAACCTCCACCAAGACCGATGGAGTGCAACGACGGCATCGAATAATTTACCTTCACCCCAGCCACTGTGACATACGCACTTGCTTGTCTGGGTAGTCCAGAGGGCAAGAGAACGCCGACATCACTCGTCGTTCCACCGATGTCGACAACGATGGCTGACTGGCTACCTGTCTCATGACCTGTCAAATACGCAGCACCTCTCATGGAATTCGTTGGACCAGAAGAGAACGTTCTGATCGGAATCTTGGCAGCTGCGGCAGAATCGAGTAGGGTGCCATCGTTTTGCGTCAAGAAAAGCGGACAAGTCAGGTTGAGTGCTTTCATCGCCCGTCTAAAGCCTTTGACGGTCCTCTTTGCATATCTCAAGATGGCGGCATTGAGGATAGCCGCATTCTCTCGCTCCAACAGACCAATGTTCGCAACTTCATGCGAGACGACAACATCCGCTTCCGGAATTTCGCGAAGCACGACATCACGCACTCGGTCTTCTTGGTGAAAGTGGTCATCGATTGGAGAGAAAGCTCCCACGATAACAATGGAGCTCAGACCCAGCTTCTTGATTTCTGCGCATCTTTCTACGACTTGCTCTTCGACCAACGGCGCTTCCTGTGACCCATCTATATGCAGGCCTCCATCAACATAGCCGACGTAGCCCTTGATAATGCTCGTCAGACCTGGCGGGAACTCGGAGAATGGTGGGACTTCGCGGAGGAAGCTCTTAGAGATACGTATTATGGCAACACGTCTAAGGCGACGGGCATCCTGCTCGATTACGGCATTGATGAAGTGTGTTGTGCCGACTGTAACGCTTGCGATGCTCTCGGATGGGAGACCGGATTTCTGGAGGACATTTCGCACCGCAGCTTCGATCCCCTCCGTGACATCGGGAGTCGTTGGGGTCTTGTGATGTGCTAGAACACCTCGAGATTCTGTGAATTGCTTGGACGGCTCAATCGCAACGGCGTCCGTGTTCGTGCCTAAGCATGCTTAGCCTGGGACGTCTGGGCCAGTAGTGCCAAGTCGAAGCTCTCAGCCCAGCTCGCTCACTCACCTCCAACATCAACGCCAATGCGTACTGTTTTTTGTGCAACGCTGCCCATTTTGACTTTGTAACCTGAGCTCCAGTCACCAGTATGAATTTCACCAAATGATATAAGAGCAACAAAAACGACAGTGACCTCGATCCTCGCGCCTCTGAGAGCTGCCCGAGCTCATCCTGACCTCAATCGTCTGATAATATAATACAGCTGCGAAGACGTGACTCCCCACCACCGGCCACCCTGCCGTCGGCGTCGGCGCATCTCTCTGCGATTCGCACGACGGCGAAGCTAGAGCCCTGCGGCAGAACCATGCTCGCGCGTGTCGATAGCCAATCCAGGCAATTGTCTCGCTTGGTGTTGACCGTGTTGTTATTTCCAGCCCCGGAAATTTCCTATCTCGTACATAGACTAGTTCGTAACAAAGGGTGGCTTGCAATGCAACTAGACAGATGCACGTAATCTGTATGTAATACATTGGCTATAAAACCAGTCCTTATATTTAGTCTAGTACATTCTTATAATACTTTAGAGTATATCTATATTAAAAAGATGTTTCTTTCTAAGTCGAAATTCTAACTACTATTTATTAAGAATTTGAAATTAAACTATAATATATTGTTTAAAAAAATTGTATTCTAATAGACTTTAATATACTAAAATATAGTTATATTAGCATTTACTATTAAAGGTACTATTTTTTTTAAAAAAAGTTTCTTTTCTAGTTTCTAGATTACTAGACTTGTTACTAAAGTGCTAGTTCTATAGTAGATAGTTTCTAGACTACTAGACTTACTACTAAGGTACTAGTTCTATAGTAGGCAGTTAGAGCTATAGGCTAAATAATAAGAATTTACTTATATTTTCTTTTAAATTAGTTTTTATTAAAGATTAATAGCCTATTTAAGCGAATTACGCGTATAGGACGCGGTCCCGGCAATGGCCGCGGCTTACACTATAAAGAGCGCTAATCCAAGGACGGTACTCCGCTTAGGTGGCAATGAATGCATAGCCGATTAGTAATATACGGACAGCAATTTTGAGGGTCTGCCGGCGCTGCCGGCCAACGACATCTCATCGACGAACTTACTTCTTATCTCCTGCCCGCGCCGTCGGCCAACAGCACAACCTACTTCTGGCTTGAATCCTGGACAGCCGCGAGGATGTTGACCCGCACCTGGGATCGCACACTTCGGCAGTCGTGCCATGCGAATGCATGATGGTTTGCCTATCAGTAAAATAGGTATGCTCATACAAAAGGTTAGTCGGAGGTAAGCCAGCACTGCTGTTGTCTTCAACAACGATCACAATGGGACTAGGACGAGTCTTGGAAATCATCAGGTTGCCCACGAATTCGAGGAGTGTCGTGAGTTTCTGGATCAATGAGGATATCCGACCATTGCCACCAAGCCGACGCACGTGGACGCGATGGGCCTACATATCGTTCTGGGCCATCAATCAAATATGTTTGAGTAACTTCCAGCTGGGAGCGTCGCTGGTTAGCGCTGGCCTTGCGGTATGGCAAGCCATCCTTGCCGTCATCATTGGCAAGTTTATCATCGCTGCAGTAGCCATTGCAAACGGTTACGTGGGCGCTGAATGGCATATCGGGTTTCCAGTCGTAAGCAGGTACATTTGGGGTGAGTGAAATATGCAGCAATGGAACGCGAGCTATCTACTAACAGGTCATGATTAGGTATGTACGGCAGCTACCTTGCCATAGTCCAGCGAATCATCCTTTCACTTGTCTGGTTCTCAGTGCAATCATGGACAGGCGGGCTCTGCGTGCAGAACATCCTTTGCGCCATATTCCCATCTTATCAAAACCTGAAGAACCCATTCCCAGAATCCGCCAAAATGGATGCCAAACAGTTCGTCGGCTGGATCATTTTCAACGTGCTCATGATCCCCATCTTATACGTCCGACCCGAGAAAATGAAATGGATCATTCTGATCTTCAACATAATTTCAGCCCTCACCCTCCTCTCAATGGTCATCTGGGTCATGAACGAAGCAGGAGGAGGCGGACCTCTACTCTCTCAACCAGCGAAAGCCACATCATCCTGGGATCTCGGCTGGTCGATCGTGCACGGAGTTACCACTGTGATCGGAAGCATCGCAGTGGGCCTAAGCAACCAAATGGACTACTCCCGTTTCGCCCGACGACCCGGCGACCAAGTCTTCGGTATGGCTGTTTACCATCAAACATCAGGACTACTGACTAATGACAGTATAGGGCAATGGTTTTCCATCATCGTCTTAGGCTCCATAATGCCAGCTCTTGGCTGTCTCGGCGCCTCAGCTTCTCAAGCTGTCTACGGCGAAGCGATCTGGAATCCCCCGAATCTCGTCCAGAAATGGCTCGATACAGACTACAACCCCAAATCCCGTGCTGCAGCCTTCTTCGCAGGCTTTGGCCTAGTCATTTGCCAATTGGCAATCAACACGATCGACAATGCCTTCTCCGCCGGAATGGACACAGCCGGTCTCTTCCCATCATACATCAACATCAGGCGAGGAGCTTACATCGGTCTCGTCCTCAGTATCGCGATGTGTCCCTGGGAACTCCTCTCAGCGGCCTCGACATTCATTTCAGTGCTTTCAGCATACTCTGTCTTCCTCGGCCCGATGGTCGGTATCATGACTTGTGATTACTGGATTCTGAGGAAACGGAAAGTGAAGTTGAGTGATTTGTATAATCCGCATAAGGAAGGGGTGTACTATTACTGGAGAGGGATTAATTGGAGAAGTTTCGCGTCGTGGGTCATTGGATGGGCGTATCTCTTGCCGGGATTCGCGCATGCTGTCACGCCGAAAGTGAAGGTGCCGGAGGCTTGTACGAATTTGTGAGTTCAGATGGAAGTGGACTTGGACTTCAGTGCATTTTGCTGACATTGAGTGAACTCAGGTACTATCTGGCGTTTCCGTTGGGATTCACTGTGAGCTTTACAGTGCACTATGCGATTAACAAGTTGTGGCCGCCCATTGGCCTGGGCGAGAAGGATGACGAGGACTACTATGGGACCTTTACTGAGGAGGAAGCTGCGAGATTGGGTGTTGCTACGCTGTACACCATTGACGGCGAGGAGAGGCCTGAGGATGAGATTGTGAAGTCCAAGGCCTCGAAGGCCAAGCTCAAAGTGTAATTTCATGAAGAAGATGCCAATGATGAAATGATAGTACGAGTGTGAAACGTGAAAAACTTTGGGTATTCATGCATCTTGGACATAGTGCCAGCTACTTTTTCGTCATACGCTAGCTACGCACACTGTGAGCAACGCCTTTCCGAGACCGCCGATCCGGGCAGTCATCCGCTTCCCCAGTCCCAAATGCAGACAGCGCTCAACACATCTAGTAGAAGGTGTTCGGGCGGGTCGCGGCGAAGACGACCTTCTTGCTGGTTGGTGGTGCACGGTGAGGCATTGGGAACTTGAGGTTCTTGGAGGTGAGCTGCTTGATGTATGGGCGACGGATGTCGTCGGTCTTCTCCACCTCGATGACCTTGAGGATCTGCGCAGCTTGATCAGTATTCCGTTGCTTGGGCTTTTGGTGAAGTTGTGCGAATCTTACGTGGATGGTCCTGAAGCGGGCACGGTGGCGGGATGCCATGTCCTGGTAGAGAGCCTGCACAGCCTCGCAGCGGGACATCTCTCGGTACTCCTTGTACATGTTGTGGGTACCAGAACGCGAGTCGTAGCGGATCCAGATACCGAAGTTCTTGACCTTGAGTGGGTGCTTCTCGTGGATCTGTATTCTCAATCAATATCCCATTCTCCTTCCCTCATTGCTAACAGCACTCCGCCAAGGTAACGACGGTACGCACCTTGTTCAAGCTAACGATCTCACCGTTGGCCTTCTTGATCTTGCGCAGCTTGGCAAGGAAGTACCAGAATCGGCTCTTCGCAACGACATCGTTTGGAGCAAAGATGCGCATGCGGTAGAGCTTTGGGGTCGGGTTGGCATCACTTGGAAGGTGACGGCCAATGACCTGATATTCCTGGAGTCGGCTAGGCATTTTTGCGGGAGACCTGATATGGGCATCAGAATCAGCAGCCGTCTTACAAAATATGTTGTACTAGCAAGAGATGTATGTGTCCATAGCCATCCCCGTAGACACACATGAGTGTGCTACTCCGGCTAGATGTAGTGTGCCATCATTGCAGTCGCTTCCTTCTATTCAGGCTCTTTTCGCGATGCTCCAGCAGAACCATCATTCCATGCTCTTTCTCCCATATTGTGAAGCGCGCGGCGCGGGCGCGATTGCGGTGGACATTGCTTACCCTGAGTGATTGTCAGTACGAAGATTGAGCGATTGAGAAGTAAGTGGGACTTACTGAGTCGACCTGTATGTTAGTACTGCGTCGTCAAAGTCGCTGAAATTCGATTGTTGGACAATTCGAGGTGGAATTTGTCGCGGACGCGGGAGTGTGGATGGAACGGGCCGAGTCTTGGCGCGAGCTCGAAGCTGCTGCTGCATTCCAATCAATGGTCTCCTCTGCTTCCCTGGCAAGAGACATACACAATCCGTCAAAATGGCAAACTCGGATGTGATGTTCGAGGACTTTGCACTGGCATACGAAGATCCCTCAGGCCCTAATGGGTACCTTCTCGCAACAACCATCTCACCAGAACCGCCGAAGCACGACCCTGGCCGGCTTTACAACTTCAGAAACAGCGTGAACCAGTTCAGTGTGCGAACTGACCTGCAATACAAACTGCAGTACAATCCCGCTCTGAGTCTCGACAAGAAAGAGGCAAACACGTGGTTGGACCTATTCACCATCTACCACAAATTCGTGGGCACACTGCTCGCAGCTGAGGAAGCTCAAAACGTGGGCAAGACCAACGAGGCAGACTGGGCCAAGGTCTATGAAGAATGGAAGGAGTTCGTAAATGCCCTCATTCGAGCATATCAAACCGGAGTTCTCGCTGCTTGGACTATACCCTGTCTCTATGTGGCCGTGAAATATCTGCGAGTGTTTGCGATCAAGGCAGATGACAAGACTACCAGCCAACGTGATAATGGTCTGGCTTTTGGCGGCCTCCAAGAAGAAGATGCCTTCGACCCAAGCGCCAGGAATGAGAAGCTCGAGGACGCTGCGCGCCAGACCAATCGCATTTTCAGTCTTTGCCATGGCGACCGGTGAGTCTTTCTCCTGCCCAGTCTGCTGTCTTCATGACCCATATCGCTACCACTTCGCATCCGTAGCATAGGCTCATGGTAAGTATAGCAACCCGCTCGAAGACTCGAGGAAGTGGGCGCTCTACTACATCGCTACTGCCATGTTCAAGACTCATTTCAAATTGAACCAACTCTCTTTGTCGAAGAACATCTTGCGTTCACTGAAGGCGACAACAGGCGATATGCCACCGCTTTCAGCCTTCCCCAAAAGCCACCAAGTACCATTCATGTACTATTGTGGAGTCATTTCCTTTGTCGACGAAGATTACAGCGCTGCGGAGGAACATCTGACTGCTGCTTACAACTTGTGCCATGTCGGGTCGCAGAAAAATCTCCAGCTGATACTGACATACCTCATCCCGACGAAACTTTTGACATCGCACATGCTGCCATCCTCTACCTTGCTCTCGCAGAATCCTAATCTGGCACGACTGTTCCAACCTTTTGCGGATGCGATTCGCAAAGCAGACCTGGCAGCTTTCGAGCGCGCACTTGAAAGTGGCGAAGAAGACTTCGTCAAGCGCCGAATATACCTTACACTTGAGCGTGGTCGCGATGCCATCATCCGAAATCTCTTCCGGAGAGTCTTCCTTGCTGGAGGGTACGACCCTCCGAAAGAAGGCGACACTTCGGCTCCTGTGCGGCGAACAAGAATTCCGATCGATGAGTTCGCGGCAGCTTTGCAGCTGGCGGGCGCAGATGTCGGTGATGGAGAAGGCGGTATTGATAACGATGAGGTTGAATGCCTGCTAGCGAATGCTATCTATAAGGTGCGTTGTGGCTTAAGCTGCCCCGTCGGGCAGCCACCATTAACCATCACGGAGCACATCGGAGCTGACCATGGCACAGAACTTGATGAAAGGATACATCGCTAGAGATCGCCGCATGATGGTGCTCAAAAAAGGCGAGGCTTTCCCTGGAACAGGCGTTTGAGCCAGATGCCTCTTATCTGCAACAACAACCACGAGATCCATCGAACCTTCGCAGCTGTGGCCGCTTTTCAGGGTGCCGACAGTCGAATGGGACGGCATGACATTTACCTATCATTGCTGCCGCGGGCGGAAGCTGCTTGATGTTCAGCCACCCGGAATGACTCATCACATCACACGACGACTCTGCACCTTTGGCGACAAGCAAGGCGACTAGGAGCGCGAGGCTGCTTCGCAACATAGTGCACTACAAGGCTGCGCACCAGCAGCTGAAATGAGAGAGAGAAGGGTGAAGAAAAGGGTGACCAGTTTCATCAAAATTCATGACATTAAATGTCGATAGATATGCTATTGTTACATCCTCTCGCCACGACCAGGCAGCGATAAGTAGCAAGCCAGAATTCCAGAGCAGTAGCGTACCAAGGTCCCCCCAAAATTTCGTTCCCGCAGTTCCCCTTCCATTCTCTGGTTTGCAGTCTGATTTTCCATTAGAAAGCAGAATCATAGTAGTGGTACAATCTCAACGTGTCTTTCTTGATTTCTTCTTCCCAGCCAAAAAAACGCCATGCTGAATGCCAAATTTAATGCTGTCAGATTTTGATTATGTACAAGAAGGGATTTTACAAGCGTAGACAGAAACAGTACGAGATGAGAGTCAGCTACGACCAGACTTGCGGGCGCCGCAGCCGGGAGCTTTTTGATTGAGATGAAATGTGGGAAATGAATCAAGTGCGTGGCGATCGGGAATTGGCAATGTCGTCGAGGTGGTTTACCCTTTTCGGTGATGTTAGTCAGGAGGACTCGTGCATGTATATGGATGAGTCGTGACACTTACATTGCGACGAAGAGGTCGAAGAACAGAGCTGTTCCGCCTCGTTCCATCTCCATCTGCATCGTGCCGCTGCGCTTGAATGTGTTGCGACTGCGGATGATGAGGGCGAGGTAGTGTGCCCGGAGCTTGCTGTCTGAGGCTGGAGTATTGGCGTAGGCGTAGCGTGCTGAGGAGAGGATTGTTGAGCACTGTACGCCGGATTGTAGGCCTTGTTTCTTGAGGGCGAGACGTTGGAGTTCGACGAGTCCGTAGCGGTGGGCGGAACACTGTAGCTGACGTGAGTATGTGGGAGATAGAGGATGGGAAAGAAGACGCACGTAGATGACAGTGTCTTTGAGGATGGCAGTGCCATCGGCAGCATGGACGATGCTTTCACTCGAGCCCGTTGCAGAAGGTGTCTCGTCGAGGAACCAACTGTTGTGTTTCTTGTCGAACTCTACTTTCGGAGTGTAGTCGCCCTTGTATAGATATTCCAAGATCGCGGAGAAGACTTCCGGAGACTCGTTTGGTAGATCTACTCGCTTGCCGTTCGTTTCGAAGAATTGCTGACGACATTGAATGGCGAAGAAGGTAGACTTGCACAGGACATCTTCGTGCGCGGCGAAGAGTCGTTGCTCTGGTCCTACTGCAATCGTGACTATGGCTGAGTTGAGATTTCTATGACAAGTCAGTATGTGCGTTCGGCAGTAAAGAATAGGACACGTACGGAGACGTCGGCGCACTGCTAGCAGTCTTTGTTGGCGACGATTGTGCTGAAGACGACTGAACTGGTTGCGCTGTGATGATCTTCCTCGTTGGCGCATATTCTTTGAAGGACTTCTGCCTCTTGCTGCTCGTCGACTTTCCCGCCCTATACGAAAAGCTATCCCGATATGATTTGTTACGGGTTGTAGATGTGAACATGATGGTGAGATGACGGGTTGACCAGATTTGTGTTGGGTTTGTCGACAAAAGAGCGTAGAGCCAAAAGCGGTATCAGAAGGTGTAGGAGGAAGGGTATACTTATAGATGGCAGGCTGCAACGGCCTGTGAGGCAACACTCCTCTTTTCAGCCGAAAAAGCGGTGCTGAAACGGGGGCATGTTGGTCACATTTGTAACCTACTTTGCACAGTTGCCATGCCAGTCCGAGGCGACCGGAGTAAAGCATACATACTGATAGCAAGGGTTGGGGGAAGACGTGATTGGCACGCGTAAAGTGCCTGCAGAACGCGCAACTGCCTTATTGGTTTGGAGAAACCCGATATTGCCACGGTGTCACGTTACTTATGTTGGCGTGAGTCAGGGAATGAACAATCCTGCGTGCGGCCTCTCCTGATCTGGAGCGATAACGTTAGCAAGGGCGATGCTGTGAAACGGCCAAACGGAGTCTGAGCCAGTGTGCCGGAGGCCTGTTCACATGGAGGAGGAGCGACCGAAGCGAGTCCGCGCATCGAGCCGAGAAAGTGTAATCTGGCCACGCTGCGAGCTTGCGAAGGCAGGATGGTTGCGACTGCTTTTTGTATTGGTCGTGACGCCGGTACGGTGCAGTTCCGCTGTGGGGAATCATATCTGATGGTAATGCTGATGCTGATGCGGCGGATGCGAGTTGTATGCAAGATGCAATGGACGGGATGCTTTCACGCAGGCTGCGAGTCGAAGATGCAGCTTGAAGCTAACTAATAAGAAGTGCGCTAGCGCAGGACCAAATCGCATCCCTGTCGCCCATCCTGGCTGCTGCTCAAACACTGTTTCTTCGTCCCTCCCGATTACATCAATGCCTTTTGTCATACACACGCAAGAGCTGGTTCTGTTCATGTGCTGTAACAATCCATAGATCCCTTTACACCTATCTACCTCTGTCGATATTGAAGGCAGAACTGGACTTCGCCACCTCATCCCGATCTCAACCTACGCCAAAAGTTACATGCAACGACACGAAAGCATGATGCTGCAGCCAAGAAATGCGCGCCGGGCAACGCGGCATACACCTCATCCTCGCCAGCCTCAGTGTACACCATTCGTAATCTGAGGTGCCTTGACCTTCAGCAATTTCTCCGCATTCTTGTACGCAATCATTTCAAGCTCCTCCTGAGTCACCAAGCCACTGTCTTCGAGATCCTGTATCCATTTGAGGCCATTCTCGTTGGGCTCGAATGGATAGTCGACACTGAAGAGGATATGATCGATCTTCGTGTTCCCGAGGATGCACTTTAATGGATCTAGGCTCCAAACGCCTGATGTCGTGATCCATATGTTCTCCTCCCAAACTTGGAGTATCTTCCGCCTCTGCTGGCCCCATCGCACGCTAAGCTTGGATATCCGCTGAAGCATGAATGGTAGCATTTCACCAAAGTGACCGATGATAATCTTCAGCCTTGGAAACTTATCGAACACTCCTGCAGCGTACAGCCGCAAGATGTGAAGACCAGTCTCTGAATGCCAACCCCAGCCAGATGCTCCCAAGCTTCGACTTGCGCCCGCGGTGAAGTTGCCTGTGTACGACTGTTGCATCATATCCTCGGCAGGCCACGTTGGGTGCAGGTATATAGGTACATCGAGCTCCTCTGCTTTTCGCCACATCACATCGTACTCGTCACCATCGAAATACTTTCCGTTAACGTGGTTGTCGATGAGGGCTCCAACAAATCCGAGATCCTTTACCGATCTCTCCAATTCCTTGGCGCACTCATCTGGATCTGCTATAGGCAGCACTGCGAACCCGGCGAAATGGGCCTTATTCTTTCTGACTGCCGCAGCCAGTTGGTCGTTTCCTTGCCGGCACATTTCAGGACTTGGCCCACCAGGAGCACACGCATGTGATATCACTTGCATTGAGATTTTTCCCTTCGCCATCTCTTCTAATCGTAGGCTGTCCAGATCTGCTAGCTTGTCTTTGGCTGCCGGTATGGCTTTGAACTGCTCTTGATATGCATCATCGAACGCTTCCAAGACGGCCGTAGAGAGAAAATGCTCCTCGAGTGCTATGAGAGGAGGAACCATGGTGCCGAATTTGCCTCAGACGTGTGCAGGAAGATGCTTTATGTGACCGGAGCAGACATGCTGTGGTCGTCAAATATGTGTAGCTTCCGCCGTGCAGAAGGGCTCAAGGTGGAACCAGTTCGTCTCGGTAACGACTTGTGGTCGGTCCCGAAGTTGATGGAGAGGTCACACATTATGCGGTGTGTGAGGAGAGCCGACAACGCAGATCGCATATATGTGCAGGCATACCGCTGAAGCCAAAGGTCACTTGGACGCCGACACTACGGCACGACTTGCAGCCTTATGTACGAAGTCATCGAAGCGGATTGTAAGGATGAGCGGGACAAGCGCGTGAGTGAAGCCAGTCCACACGTGGCTGGTGTCACTTGGCATGGACAAGGAGTACTCCCTCCTCAAGCCTGACCTCGGCCAAAGTCTAGTTCTACTCGCAGAGCTCGACTAGCTACACTGCTTGTAGCCATTGCCGTGAGCAACACATTACCGGTAATCGATCAACGACGACGCACTCTCTGTAGGCTGAACTATATACTATTTATCTCATTGTTGACAAAGTCAGTAAGCACACTTCTCCTCACATATCCGATCCCCAATCAGAATGGCTTCCAAGTACCTCGAATCGCCCTCTCTCCATGAGATCGAAGTTCCAAAATCCTACGCAGACATCGGCTTCACGCAAATCAAAGTCACAAATGTCCCAGAATCTTCCAAAGATGTCACACCAATCCAGCTCGTCACACTCTTCCGACCAAAGAAATACAATGCCTTCACGCCCACCATGATGCACGAGCTCGAGCACGCTTACACGCTTTTCGACATCGATGATCGCGTCAAATGTATCGTACACACTGGTCATGGCAAAATGTTCTGTGCTGGTGCGGATTTGGATACGGGTTTCGTAGGAGGCCAAGAGCAGAATCGAGATCACAGGGATGGAGGAGGTAGAGTCTCTTTGGCGATCAACAGGTGTAGAAAACCTACTATCGGAGCTTTGAATGGGAGTGCTGTGGGTGTGGGCGTGACGATGACGTTGCCGATGAATATCAGGATCGCGTATAAAGATGCCAAGATTGGATTCGTGTTTGCGAGGAGAGGCTTGGTTATGGAGGCTGCGAGCAGTTTCTTTTTGCCGAGATTGATTGGGTGAGTACTAAACAAACATCTCCACAAGCCGAGAGACATGGAGGAAGCAGATTTACTGATGTGATATTGCAGCACATCGAAAGCCCTCCACCTCTGCACAACAGGCGCAACCTACCCGGCCAAACACCCTCTCCTCTCAGACCTCTTCACCGAAGTCCTCGACACCCCTGACGCCGTCCTTCCCCGAGCCCTCGAACTCGCAGACGAAGTCGTCAAGAACTGCTCCACCGTCTCCCTTTATCTCATCAAAGAACTCATGTACCGAAACCCCGGAACTCCAGAAGGCGCACACCTGCTCGACAGCAGGATCGTGTATGAATGTTTCGGTAGCAAGGACAACAAGGAAGGCGTGGCTGCGTTTTTGGAGAAGAGACCTGTGAATTTTCAGGGCACGATGCAGAATGATGCGCCTGCGGCTTGGCCTTGGTGGGATCCGATTTCGGTGGGTAATAGACCTGTGCCGAAGGGGTATAAGTTTAAACCGAACTTGTAGGGGAGGGCATGTAAGGTTGCGTTGCAGTATGAATGATTGAAAAGTCTTTGACACAAGAGACTGGTTTGGTTAGAGCCGACGTATTCGAACTCATCGCGATCCTATCTCCTTGATTCGGGAGAGACAAGATTGCTGGCTTGGACTAGGGAAAGCAGGAAGTCGGTACTGTGGAGATCTCAGGCTCAACGGACTTCTCCTAATCTCGCCGCTCTTCTCCTCAGTCCACGTTGGTTCGGAGTCGACACAGTTTCTTGAACTTCTGTTTTGCGAGTCCCAATGCCATTGCCTGCATCTCCTCATCATCATGACCAGACACGGCGATCTTCACTTGACCCCCCAGATTGCATATCTTCTGAAATTCCTTCATGATCTCCTCAATGTGACCTTCCTGTTTTGGAGACCCCTCCAGCGCAATTTCCAGTTGAGTTGTCAGAGTGCTTTCCAAGTTAATACTTTGGTTCGACTTCAGCCTATAGTAATGCTGATTCTTAGAGCTTTGACCACAAGAAGTATGACGAAAAGGTCTCCTTGGGACTCGCAACACCAAATGGCGGATCTTGAGTTCATATTGCTCGGGTCAGTCATGATGGGACGAATCGCGTTTAGCGATTCCAGGAAGGAAATGTGCGTGCGGAAGCTGTAGGGTATCGATGGTCCTCAAGACCTGTACTTCGCTCTAATATCTTTACAAATTTACATTAGCCATGCGCCGAAGCCCTACGCTGAAACCAGGCTGGCGTCAGCAGTACACTGGACTGTATGCAGAATGCTGTCTCGTGATCTCCAAGAGTCTGTCGGAAATCCTCTAGAGCTTAGAGCTGAGCACTGCTCTCATGCGCTTCTCAACAGCGTCCAGGTATTCCGTCGTGGTCACGTAATCGTTCTTCTTGCCACAGCTGATAGCTAAGTCCTTGGTCATGATGCCTTGTTGATCAACAACGTGAATACACGCCTCTTCCAAGGACTCGGCAAACTTGGTCACTTCTGGGGTTCCATCAAGCTCACCACGCTTAGCAAGGCCTCTTGTCCACGCGAAGATGGAGGCAATTGGGTTGGTGGAGGTGGGGTTGCCCTTCTGATGCTCGCGGTAGTGGCGAGTGACAGTACCGTGGGCGGCTTCTGCTTCGAATGTCTTGCCGTCTGGAGTGACAAGGACCGATGTCATCAGCCCGAGCGAGCCGAAGCCCTGGGCGACGATGTCAGATTGAACGTCACCGTCATAGTCTGGGAAATGTTAGCACGGATTTGTAACGGGAATGAACGAGTCACGCACTCTTCATGGCGATGACCATGCCACCCTCATTCTTGATCATCTGAGCAACCATGTCGTCAATCAAGCGGTGCTCGTACCACAGTCCCTTCTCCTCGAACTGCTTGCGGTATGTGGTCTCATAAATCTCCTGGAATGTGTCCTTGAACTTTCCATCGTACTTCTTCAGAATAGTGTTCTTGGTGGTCATGTACATTGGGTAGTTAAGAGCGAGCGCGTGCTTGAAGGAAGCGTGTGCGAAGCCTGATATGGACTCCACAGTGTTGTACTGAGTCTGGGCAACACCGCCTTGGTGCTTGTCGGTGAACTCAAAGACATCGATGACTTCTGGCTTGCCTCCCTTTGGCGTGAAGACCATCTGGAGCTTGCCCGGGCCCGGTAGGACCTTGTCCTGAGCCTTGTACTGGTCACCATGCGCGTGACGACCGATCACAATTGGCTTCTTCCAGCCAGGTACTAGTCTAGGAATCTTGGGAATGACGATTGGCTCTCTGAAGACAGTGCCTCCAAGAATGTTACGGATTGTGCCGTTCGGGCTCAGCCACATCTTCTTGAGCTTGAACTCCTCCACACGCGCCTCGTCGGGCGTGATGGTCGCACATTTGACGCCCACGCTGTACTTCTTGATGGCCTCGGCGGCGTCAATGGTGACCTGGTCATTGGTCTGGTCGCGGTACTCAAGACCCAGGTCGTAATACTTGAGGTCGATGTCGAGATATGGGAAGATGAACTTGTCTTTGATGTCCTTCCAGATGATCCTGGTCATCTCATCGCCGTCCAGTTCGACGACGGGGTTTTTGACTTTGATCTTGGGGATGTGTTGTGACGCCATGCTTCGGCGTTGCACGAGCTTCGCAGCGACTGGTCGGGGAAAGGTTCGTGCTGCTGGGAGGATGCGGGTGCGGGCGTAGGATTGGTGCAGGGCAGGCGAGGCAGCGGTATAGAGAGATCGGATGGCAGACATTATTTATGCTGGGCGGAAGATGCGGCGGACGAGATATAAGGGCCCTTTTCCGTGTATGAATGCGTGAATTGCGCCGACTGGTCCTTCGAGCTCTGTGAGTCTGTGGACGGTCGCGCTTACCCGAGGGAGGGAGAGTTTGTGCGTGCTGCACAATGATGAACGATGTCGGCGAGCCTCAAGCGCAGGTCCCCGCATGTGCAACTCGGCTGCCGGCAGATCTGCTTGTTGATTCCCGGCACTTCACAGCAGAAACAACAGCAACATCAATTTATCACCATCTCGTGTCCAGGGGAAGACAAGAGGCCGGCGAAGACGCTCATCTCACGCGGTGGCACAGCTCCCACACTACACTGCTACGGAGGATGTGGGAGCGGGGAGGGGTACTGAGCTAGGGTCGCGGTTAAATCGACAATAATAATCCAGCGACTCGTGCCCGGCTACATTTGTCTTGATCTGACACAGCGTTCATAGCAAATAATGCAATTCCTCTCACTGTCTCCAGCCAAGACGAGCACTCTCCTGTCGTGGAAATTCTCCGGTCATATCTGCTCTTCTCGGAACCAGTGTTTATATATGCCCACCCAAAGGATCTCGTCGAGCACAGCACCCGCAGAAGGAGTCGTGCAGTTTTCATTCGTGGCCTGCAGATGGCAGCGTGCGAGGGCAACTTGGTGAATTGTGCATGCAGTCGCTTGCTCTGGCAGCACCTGCATTCTGGTGTCATGTCTATTCAGCGGTTCCCCTGCGAAGTCACCGCATAGTCTGCATCAACAGGGAAAGCTGCAGAGCCTCGATGAGCAGTTTGGCCAAGGCCAGCTGGCGAACGGTTCGTGAGGTTCGTGGTGACACTCCGCATCTTGCTCTTGTTCCTGGCTAGAGCCAAGCAGCTTCCCAGCTGGCGCCAGGCGCATCCTTCTATGCGTCTCTTCATCGGCAGAATCTGTACGGAGGACATGGCCGAGTTACAAGAGCCTGTCTTTGCGCGTCACTTTGCCGAGTCATGTGGTTAATGCAGCCTGGTCGCGCTCGTGTTGTGGCAGCGAGAAGGTTCACGGCGCAAGCAGACGCCACGGAATGACGAGTGGGGACATGGTGTATCCCGGCCTCCCGCCTTGTTCACTAAGCTTCAGCCCGTGAATAAACAGACCTACTACCTCTACTCTAATAAGCCAGCACCATCTACTGCTCCTATCTTACTTGAATCTCCCCAAAGCAGGAATGACGGCACTCTGCTCCTTCTACGCGCCGGGGCAACCATGGAAGGCGACCACGCGATTCTACGATTGCCGAGCGAATCCGGCAGCAGTGACAGCATTCCAGAGCGGCACTCAATCAAATGTTGCTGCGGCAGCAAAGATTGCGCGTTCCTGAGGCACAATCAGACTGCACTGCAAGATTTGGAGCGCGACGTGTGTACGGCCAGTCGCATCGGCAAGGTGAGCCGTTTTCTTGCGTTGATGTTTGATTTGGCGCGCCAAAGCAGCATGGCAACAGCTGGGCGCCTCGGGCGGTGTGTATACGCGTGAAGCTGTGCGAGGACCTTGGAACCAGGCACAGTGCGCGTCGGCCGCGAACGTCGATACATGCATCCAACCATGGTGGTGCAGAGTAGCAATATGTCGTTACTAACATTCTCGCTGCAGGCACTGCTGGTACGGCATGAGACGTATATCGCCGACTCCGAGAGAGAACGCAAAGCCATGGCCGCGCAGATCGAATCGCTAGAGGTGGAGAAACATACGCTGGAGACGCAGAATGCGAAGGCGATCGAGGAGAACCGGAACCTGCTCGACCAACTGGAATCGCTGAATGGAGCTGTCGCCGAGTCTGATACTCAAGTTACAAACCTTCAAGCGACCCTACGATCAACACAACAGGAACTCCATAAGCTGTCGCACCTAGCTTCCCGGACCGAGAAGCTTGAACAGCAGATCGCGGACTTCGAGAGAGAGCAAGCGGCATGGCACTCATCGTTTCAAGAAAAGGAAGCGTCCGAAAAGGCTGCACTGCGGAGATGGCAGGAAGCGCAACGCACTCTTTCAGCGTTGCAGGAGCAGATGGATCATATAGAGCAGGAGGCCAAGGAGGAGAAAGAACGGCACGCTGAAGTCGTTGGTCGCATGGAGCGAAGACATGCTGTGGAGCGAGAGCTGGACAACGCTGCTGGACGACTAAAGGGTGCAGCCGCAGCGAAAGCTGCCGCAACAGGAACGAATGTGGTCTCACACTTCGTCAAGGACATTCTCCAGGATAATGCCAATCTGCAAATGGGCATAGTGGAGTTGCGCGACATGTTGCAAACATCAAATGAAGAGGTGGAGAATTTAAGGAACCAGCTTTCGGTACACCAACCTGTCGTCGACGCGCTTGATGTTGCTCAGGCGACCGCGTCGCCCAAACGATCGCACCTCAACGAGGAGATGAGAAGAGCTACCGCGCAGGAATTACATGTCCACCACCACTATCACGCACCTTCACCAGCACCGAAGACACCAGCATTACGACGCCCAAAAAAGAAACGATACGGCGCTCTAACGCCAGGGCACTTTACACCACCCATGTCCGGGATCAGCTCACCGCGCTACTCCTTCTCCTCTCCATCGAACGCTGCAGCCATCCTGTCGCAGACTGCAGCAAGTTTGCCTGACAGTGTGACTCCCAACAAAAAGCGATGGTCTGTTCAATCCAACTTGACATACCAGTCGCTGCAGGATTCCTCGGGGCCTAGCTCTCCTCAATCCACCTATCGCGCATGCTCAATGTTCGACAGAGTTTTTAGCGATGCTGGTCAGGACTCTTCTCGTCCGACAACGCCCGACACTGAGGATCCTGGTTCGCCGTTGTTCTTTCCTGTCAATTCTAAGCGATCGTCCAGCACCTCATTTCACTCGCGCCACCAGTCTGCTGCATCACATAGGGTACGTCCTTCATTAAACTCTATTCTGGACATGAGTACCGAAGACCTGCATGAGATCGAGCAGCAGCAATCGTCAGCAGCACCGATAATAGAAGAAGAGGAGCAGGAGTGGGAGAACACGGACTCCATATCTCCGGATGAACCCCTCGATGCACCATCACTACTTGATGAAGAAATCACACAGTCCCTCAATCGACCGCGCACATTACGTCGCGCCACTTCTCATGAATCCATCTTGTCTTGCCGCGGCATGGATGTCAACACCCTCAAATCTCGACCATCTCAACTGCTCACGTCTTACGCCGGAAGATCAGGATCAAGTCAAGCTGTAGTAAGCGAGGAGACTGCTCATGCAGCACGTCCATCTGCAATGTCTCGTTCATCAAATTCTGGTCAGAGTATTCTGAGTGGCATGAGTGGACAACCGACCCCAAGGCAAATAAAAGGAGACAGACCGGGTATTGGCAGTAGAGTAGGCGGATGGATGTTTGGAAAGTGGGTCGCCACACCGACGCCGTCAGAAACGGCTACAACACCGAAGATCAATCGCACAGCAAGTGCTACTTCGAGCAGCACAGCTAGGTCTGGCGAGGACCCCGAGGCGACGCCGAAGAGACCGAAATATCGTCCTCCTGGCATTAATACGAATGGTCCGATCCCAGGCTTCGGGCCAGAGCAGAAGCTGCAGCATTCGCCGATCTTGCAACGACTCGACGCAAACGCGCTCAAGAACGCATTAGGAAATTGAAATTGGGACGACACTTTGATCTATTGCTGATGGAATACGATTTGATGTTTTATGATACCCAGCTCTTTCGAGCTCTCGTTTGTAAGCTCATAGAAATCAACAGAATCGCAATTGCTATCACATGAGGTCAGATGCATGTGAGAGTTAGGACAGAGACCCCAGCAAAAATGGAGCAAACCAGCCCGCCTATAGAAGGCTTTCCACAGTGAGAAATCGAGGAGCCGGCTTTTGCATGTGACGCGATCTCACTTTTCGTGCTGCCTAAGGCGGCTAGCTTTTGCACTAGCTCAACTTCAACCTCAAAATCCACCTCGACTTTATTCTGACTCTCTACACAGACAAACCCCACCGCTGATCAGTACAACGCTGAAGTATTTCAACAACACACAAGCATAATCAGTACCATCATGGGTCGAGGCAAGGGCCAGTCATATTTGCCCAGAGCTGGCGACTTCAGCGGTAACGGCGATAAGCCGACATCTCTTGAAGATCCCATGGCATACGGCGCTCCAACGAGGCGCGAGGCGACATTGTGGGATCGAGGCGGCGGGCTGGATGTTGCGGCCGATGACATCGATATGACAGATGTCAATGGTGAGACGGCCCAAAAGATTCAGACATCCACATATTCGCCAAAGACAGTTCAAGGCACTTCGACCCAGACTGCTGAAACCGCTACCGGGGAAGAGTCTAGCAAATCAAGACGGGCTGAGAAAAAAGCCACCAAAGACGCTGCAATCGCGACACGGACTAGGTCAAAGAAATTCGAAAAAAGAGCCCCAGAGAAAACTGAAAAGAGAGCCGGAAAGAAAGCTAGAAGAGCTGCGCGAAAAGAAGAAGCACGACGACAAGGATCACTCGATCCGCAGCCGCAGCTCGAGGCGAACAACTCCCTCCACGCAGGGAACAGGGCATCCCGTGTTGAGAAAGCTGGGTCATCAGTAGAGAGGCAAAATCCGAGAGTTCCCAGTCCTCGCTCACAATCGAGTATTACCGGCACCAATAGCGAAGATCCTATCGAGACTGCAGCAAACCTCGAGCCTCGACAGATACACGGAAGATGGGGTGTTGGCAATAGGCTTGACAAGAAAGACAATAGAAAGCTAGTTAGGGCCATGGAGCACTTGTTTACGAATGACGAGAGCGAAAATTCTAAGAGCAAGAAGGCTGCACACAAGGCGGTCAATCGAGGCTTCCAGTTGCCCTCTGAGAGGTTGAATTTGGACAGCATCTCCAGTCTCGACTCGACTGTTCAAGATCAATCATTCAAGGACGACTCGCATCCAGAGATCTAGACTTCCGAAGGACCAGTCTTAGCGGATACCAAGAGGAAGGCAGATTTATGATTACAGGTTTATCGGAACAGAAGACATGCCGTGGTTTGGCCAGAAGAAAGGCGCGGGGCGGCGGGCGGATATTGAGCGTTCGCGTCCGGAATGGTCATGGCTCTCTCGTTGCGACTGAAAAGCATGAGGTGTCTTTCAGAGATCATTTCAACACACACAAAGCAGCATTTTGAGAGTCCGGGGGTACAATCCCAAAAAAAAAACACCTCCCGCGCGCGAGGAAAAAAGCGGAAGGAATGCCGTGACAAATTTTCTTTCTCCAAGTTTAGTTTTACCCACACCTCAAACTCGACTCTCACCTCCCTCCCCTCGTTCCCTTCTCCTCCTCAATCTCATGAACCCACTCATCAACCACCTTCCCATTCTCGTACAAATCAATCAAACTCGCCTCCACAGCTCTCGTCGCATCCGCCACATCCCCATAGAACCCATCGCCTTTCCGATCCTGGTTCTCGATTTCGATGAGGTTCGCTAGAATTCTGGAGAGGAGATAGTATTGGTATGCGCGAGCTTTGGGTTGAGATTTGTCTCGGAGTTTTGTGGGAAGTTTGGGAGGGAGGAGGATTTCTTCTTCTTCTTCTTCTTCTTCTTCTTCTTCTTCTTCGATTGTCGGGGAAGATCGAGTGGTGGGTTTTGGTGGTTTGGTTGTGGAAGGCTTGGGGGATGGTTTGGTAGTTCTAGTTGCTTTGGGAGACGAATTTGTCTTCTTCGCCGCAGCAGCAGGTTTCTTGCGCTTGGGACCCATGAGTATTTCAGTCTCATTCGCGGATGGATCAATCAATCTTCGGACGAATTCTGGGGAATGCACAGAAGCTGACAAGAAGCGGCAGCTGAAGAACGTCCTTTGTCCTATTGGAGTCACATTCAGTCCAAGGATTTCGAATTCCCAATAACGCCGATGCAGACACCCTTTGTTCGTATCCGGAAATGGGAACTCAAACATTCTCATCACAAGTCTACCGGAAAATAACGTTTTTGAATTTAGTCATTACAAATTGTAGTCTGGTGAACGAATGTTAAGAACAGTTCCAAAGTGGAGCGACATTTCTCATCGAACAGAACTCGTTATTCCTTCTTCTTTCCCTGTTTTTGACGCTTGGCAGCCGGTCCATCGTCCTTTTCCTCATCATCGTCAGAAGATTCGATCTTCCTTATGGGTCGCTTGCGCTTGACTGCTGCAGGCTTCTTCTCCCCCTCCTCTTCTTGGTTCCCCTCTGGCTTCTTGCTCTTTGCCTTGGACTTTGCTGGAGCCTGAGATTTGTGGAGCGCCTTGAGCGCGTCGGAAAGCTCCATAGCTTGGTCACCCATGTCTCCGTACACACCATTGGGATCATCATCCACTTCGTCTTGAATGAAGTTAGCGAGAGAGGTAGCGAGGTTTGCTAAGTTCCCCAGGCGCTGGCGTTTCTTGAAGGTAAGCTTGGGTTTCTCGGGCTCTTTTTCCTTTTCCTCGGCGTTGTCCTTCACTGCTACTTTGCCTTTCTTTTTCATTGGAGCGGCCCTCTTTGGTGGGTTGTCGGTCTCAGGATCGGCGGCTTCGGCTTCGGCTTCATATTCATCTTGCGCCTTTCTCCTGGCCTCAAGATCAGCTTTCACCTTAGCTGCCTGCTCCCTCTTCTTTTTGGCTTCTTCCTCCTTCTTTGCTGTCTCCACAGCCTTTCTTACTTTCCTCTCCTGCTCCTTCTTGGCCGCTTCATCAGCTTGTTTCTGTTGTTTGTTCTGTCGAGCCTTTTCAGCTTTGGTCAAGGGTGGAGATTCGGTGGCCTCCTCCGGCTGATGGTCATCTTTTCGTCGTTTACGTCCTCCAGGACTGGTCTTCTGACGAGTGCTCTGCTTCTCCTCAGGCTCAGGCGTACGTCGAGGGCGCTGTCGTCCTTGCTCTTTGTTCTCTTCCGCTGCACGCTTCCTGGTGATCCTGGGAGCGTCCGCCATGATCTTTTCTGATGACACTATACCCAACGGTGAACTTCGCGGCGCATGTGCTGCTCTTGCGAAGCATATCTTCCAGAAGCCCATACGAATGTTCGACCAATTTATACCCTCTTCCTTTGTCTTCGCCGGAAACGGTAGAGTTTCTTTCAAAATTCTAACAATGCTGATATAACTTGGTGGCTGAGGCATTCATGCTACTATCTCAGCGGAACGCTATCACTCCAACGGGAACCAATCTCTTCGAACTCCGAAAGTGGAGCCGCGATGATGTTGATACACTGAATTTAAAGCCAGTCGTGCTCAGATGAGGTGGTCCTATGGTTGCTCACGCTTCACCATTGATGACTGCGGCTCTTTCTCAGGAAATTGGATGAAGACTGAGTTAACCTGAGTAGTATGACTGGACCTCTCTCACAGAGCATGAATTGGAGGCTTATGAGCTTCGGAGGGACTCGCAGCAGTCCGTCTCGTACGTAGGATATTGTCTTAGATTTTGCAGTGCGTGCAAAGGGTTCCAGAGTCTGAGCGATGAGCATCACTGCCCTCAGCTCTTGGGGTTACCACCTTAATCTTCATCGGAAGATGGCCTGCTATCGCTTCGCTTGTTCCGACATGACGTTCCGGCTTCGTGACAGCTTCAATGCTACAAGGCTCGAGAATCGAATCTGCTTGCATGGCGAGAGCTTTTCCGTAGAGTCGAAGCGCGAGAATTGGAGGTAGAGAATGAGATGGCGGCCTTGAACCCCTCGCAAAGGGATCATAAACTCGGAGAGTGCGAATGCTTCGAAAGCTCCTCAGACTCCGTCAAGTAGCTTTGCTGTCTAGTTGACGTTGAGCCGCATGCTGCGCCTAAAGCCGGTGATAGACTGTTGGTCGGCCCACGTTCATCGTGCTGCCTGTGCCCCCTTCCGGGGGATGGATGATAGGACATGGCTCGAGAACTGGGGCGAAATGCATACAGAAAGCTGCGGCGTAGAGTCCAGGCGTGAGAATGGTGATGGTAGGGTGAGATTGCGGCGACTCACGACCGGATCGAGTGGCTGACTCAGAAGGCGCGGCGCGAATGCCAGAAACGGTTCGGAGACTGTACCAAGCAGCTGTATTGTCCTTTCGCCGTTGGGTTGTCTGATGCGATCCCGAAAGCTTTTCGTCGGCTCATATGCTTCGTGCGGGCCAGGCGCGCTCAGGAGTATGAACTTGATAGGAGGTCCGAGAAGGGAGTCTCAGAACATGGCTAGGCCGGTACAGCGGAGTGCGTCAGCACATTTGACGCAACGCTGAGCCGTACGCCACGATCTAAGCCGGCAGTAAGCTGTTCATGCGTCCAGATTCCTCGTGCTTGCCAGACGCCTTCAGTAGTATAACCTTGACAGGGAGTCAGAGAAAAGAGTCTATGAGCGCAGCCAGGCCATTTCATCGGAGCGCCGCGTTACGATTTAAGCCGACTGTACTTCGTTCATCGGCTGGCATTCATATGCTGCCTGTGCGTCTTCCAAATGGTGAATTGGATAGGAGGTTCGAGAAGGGAGTTCACAGGCGCAGCCAGGCTTGTCCATCGGAGGGCGCCACGACATCTGATCTAGAACCGTGACGGAAATCTGCGCAGGGAAGCGACTTGAGAGCACTGATTGATCATTCTTGGCTATTTATACTACATTTTGCCGTTTCAGTGCTTGCTCTTGCTCCTAGCTCCAACTCTTATGCAAAGGTTGCAGCTACTCAAATGCTATCCGCTGGTAGAGCGCTTATCCTTAAAACGGAGCGCTATTCTTCTTCTCATCCTCATACAGGGTACCTTTGCTGCTCAGTACCATAAGGTACATTGCAATTACCAGGATACCCCAAAAAATGCAGCCAAGCGGGAAGTAGACCAACAGCGCATTGCGCTTGCCTCGAGCCGAAGCACCACGAATGCCGCCTCCCACCTTCTTCTGGATGGGCTTGTCGAAGGCACCAAGACCGAAGGCAAGCGTCAACGGAGGAAAGACCGCGCACGACCAGAGGTAGCGCTTCGAGATGGCCTCCTGGTCAGCACGAAGCGCCTTTTCGACGTCGCTCTCGGGCTTGACAAGCATTGGCTCGTTGGCGGCGAAGGACCACTCGTTGTGCTTGCCCAGAGGGCTGTTCGCAGTCACCTGGGGCTTCATTCTCCAGCCCGGCTGACGAGCAGTGAGCTGCGCATCATTCAGACGGTTTGACTTGAGCAGATGCAATTGGCGTGGCTCGTACTGGTTGCTCATAGCAGCCGGTTTGTATCGCTTGGTCTTGCCACCTAGTGGCTTCAACTCGACCTCAGTCACCTTGGCATTGGTCGTGGTGGCGCTGTTGCTGTGCGATCCACCATAGATGGCCTTGACTGTAGGATCTCGCACAAAAGGTGACCAAAGCTCGGTTGCCGGGCCGCGGAAGGAAGCCGGAGAATGACTTGGGATGCTGAAGTCCGCGCGAAGAGTAGTGAAGGTGGCCTCTCTATCGTCCCATACTAGATCGCCGCGACGTGGAGTTGGCGTCGTTGGGGAATCGAGCAGACCTCGACGGTCAGAGGCGGCATCAGCTGCTGGCCAGAGCTTTCCGAGAGCGGCAATGCGATTGAAGCTGTTTCTTGGATTGTAGTTGGGACGAAAAGGCTTGACCTTCTGGAGCTTGTTTGTCGACTTTGCCTTGAGAGAGATGAGAGACTCCGAAGCTTTCAGGGCGAAGCGATCGGATGTCGATGGATAGAGCTGACGTAAGCGTTCCAGCTCCTCAACATCAGCCTTCCGCTGGGCTTTGTCAAGAGGCGTGCTCCCATAAAGGACATTCAGGTCGTCTTCGATGATCTTTGCCTCCAACTCCTTGATGGCTTTCTTGATCTGACGTCGACGCTCGAATTCTTGTGCGGCGACGTCGTCCGGAGAAGACACAGCTGGCGACAAGTCGGTGATCGGCGTCAGGATGTGGCCTTCCATCTGAGAGGGGCCTGTGCTCAGTCGGACTCGGCTGTCATAAAAGCTCGTGTTGGCATAGCTGTCCAGGCTGATGCGACCATAGTTGCGTGGCAGGTCATAGTGAGAATCAGAGTACTGAGTCTCCCAGTCATCTTCGATGTCCTCGGAGTAGATGCTCGAGCTACGCTGCAGCACTTTGGCCACGTCGCCGCCATCATCATCGTTATCGTCATCAAAGAATCTGAAGCGCTCAGCGGCTGCAGCAAGCTCTGCAAGATTGTCCTCGCTCTTTGGCGGGATGTTCTCCTTGTCGTCGTGGTACCATGGCAGCACACAAGGTGGCACTGGAGTCCTTGGGTCTGTGTCTGGATGGATGTGAATGTGCGCTGGATTGTCGCAAGTCTTTGGGTTGCATGGAGTGCCCGGTGAATATGGTGGATACTCTGGAGCAGCCTCCGGCGTGATAAGCAATAGCTGGTTTGTCTCACCATAAGTCCGATCAGTGGTGGGAAGCTCGGAGCAGCCGGAGTAGTAATGGAAGCCTGTGCCATTGTAGACTGGTGCTGGTGGCGTCGGCAGAGCAACTGGCACGACAGGTGGGGTCGTCAGCACAGGCTTGGCATCTAGATCTCGTGTAGAATCCTTGCGGTCTGCAGTTGGGGTTTGTAACGGCGAGACCAGACCGTGAGAGGTGTCAAACGCCGGCTCAAGGCTAGCCTTGCGGGCCCGCTCAATCGCTCGGCTGTCTGTGATGTCGACTTCTCCTTCTGAGGAGATTGGGACTCTGGTGTAGTCGTACCCCTTCAAGATCTCTCCGATCGTCGGGTCTGTGCTTTGTTCCAATGTCCTGTGAAGAAAAGCATCTCGTAAGTGTACTCTTTAGACGGAATCGACGAGAGGAAGTTACATACGCTTGAGTATCAGCACCATGATCTGAAGCTGTGATGCCCAGACCTTTGACCTCTTGCGGAGAGGTTGGCGCGAACTCGGCGTTGCGATCTTCTCTGAGAACTGCGTCGATTGCCTTGAGTTGATTGTTACTGCCAGACTCGCTAAGGGTGAGATCGAATGGATCGCTACGGTGGCTTCCGGCTGTCATTGCCATGTGCCAGGCTGTGAGTTACATCAGTGCCATGGGCAGATAAGCATTGCGAAGAGTCATACCTGTCGCACTCATCTTCTGAGCTCGTGGCGAGCGCAAGTCGTTGAGGACGGCATTGGGTGGTGGAGAAGGGATCACGTCCTCGACGCGAAGGATGTTACGACGTGCACTGCCTGGATCATCGTAAAGCACGCGTCTGGAGTTCTCGCTTGGGACGCGCAGCGAGGTTTGCGAGGGCTCGCCGGTGAGAGTGTCGTACTGCATTTTCTCTACTGGCTGGTCGAAGTAGTCGTCGAGAAGTCCGTCGATCTCGGCAGGTGTTTCGATGTCACGAGCGCCAAGAATAAGAGACGCGTGCGGATTGACGACGTCAAAAGATGCTCCACGATACAAAATAGTGGCTGGGGATGAAGGTTGCGATGGCTGTGCCAAGTGCCCTGCAAAGTTCGGTCAGAAGGGTGCAAAGTCTGTAGAGAGGTGGACTTACCGAATGTGCCCTCCCAATTATCTCGTCCAGGAGGGTTGGGAAAGTCGAATTTCGAGAGTGAGAGTGATGATGAGGTCGCGATTTGGCCTTGCTGCTGCTGCGGCGGCGGCGCGTGCCAAGACTCTGGCGCTGGTGCCTCTGAATTCGAAGGCGGGTCCTCGTTGACTTGCTGGTGATCGCCGGCGCGCTCGTGCTGGGAGCTGTGCTTCTGGCGCTGCAAGTGCTGGTGCTGGTGATTCTGCTCTGTTAGGCGCGACAACCCTCTGAATAGCTTCTCGTCCAATGGAGGATCAAACACCGCCGCATGCACCTCCCACAGCTCGTCCTCGTCCTGCCCGCTTCCACCGCTATCTACCCGCTGCCGCGGAAGCCGTTTTGCTCGCCTGAGAGGCTCAAACTTACGCTTGGTGCGAATATGGTCGCCCACTTCCAGGTGGTCGTCAGCCCAGTCACGCTCTTGCGGAGCGGCGGCGCGACAGATCGGTGTCTGTGCTGGTGTCGACTGTAACGTGGTCACCGTGGACGTGAGAGATGGCGATGTTGTGCTCGGTCGAAGTCGTGGCGTGAGTGGCAAAGGTGGAAAAGAAGGGATAGCAGGTGAGTGTTGTGAGAGCGAGTGAGCTTGGCTAGGCAGAATTGCACTTGGCGACCAGTGGTCCGTGTAGCTCAACGGCGCTGCAGCAAGATGCGGCGTCGAAGGCTTCCGCCGCCGTCTCAAACGCTTCAAATCGAACTCTGGCGGCGCCGACAAGACCGGGGATCGCTGGAGTCGATGGAAGTCATGCAGTGTGAACTGCGGGCTGTCGTGTCGATACAGCGAGATAAAGCTGTCATTCGAGGCGTGCGCGTCCAATGCGACTGGCGAGCTGGTCAGTGGCCAATCTGGAGGGAAGTCTTCCATGGCGACCCTGCATGCGGCCCAACAATATCCTCGAATGTTACCAACAGCACTACTTGGGGCGGTACAGACGCAGGCAAGAAGAGAACGGGCGGCCGTGGTGCCCCAAGCGCATGGTATCGAACTATCCAAGAAGCAGCACAAAGCTGGCCAGCAGCCATCAAGCGAGTGTCGAAAGCCCGGTGAAGATTGAGTCCCGAACAAGTTCGGCTTGTGGCGATTTTGGTCTTTTGAATAGGTCTGATGCCGCTCCTCCCTGGTCTACGCTCGCTATTACATTGATTGCTACTGTATACTGCATCGGCATCAGCACTCCAAATCCTTGGCATAGTGGGCAGACATGCCATCTTACCACTGGAGATGCTGCGCTTGGTAAATTGACAAATGCTTTCGGCTGTGCTCGAGATTGAGTGTCAAGTCGAATCGTCGTTGAATCTTGAAAGAAAATGGATGATGTGCGACACGCCGCCTGTCAAGCGGTGCGTGCTGTGAAAGCCGATGCGCTGGCAGCTGGAAGCATGTTCGCAGCGCTCAAGGCGTGGAGATAGTTCTAAGTCGACGAGCCAACGACATTCTCACACTCTCGCGAGGCAATGTCAACTGCTCCAGCTGAAGAGCAAAAGGCAATGGTACCTTGACTAAGGCCTCGGAGAGGAAGCCGCGTTGGAGGCTGCGTGGCCTTCCAAGTTCCATTTGCGCTTCACACTTCACACCGAGCGAACTCCCTCTGCCTAGATGACCAAGTCTGCCAGAAGTCAAGCACGCTGCCCAACAAGCGTGAGCGTGAGCGTGACAGAACCATCGGTGGCTCGCAGCAGTGGAAGTGTGGCACACCGTGAGGTCAACACAAGGATACCCAATAGACACCCACTTCCCTCACCTTTCACGCCACTGACCGCACACTTGGCAACCAATCGGCGTCGAGAACCGCGCATTCCCGACGACATCGTGTCTCAAAAAGCTTCACTACTATGCTGTAGGCACTTGGTCAGATTCGAGCCGGTGTGCCTTCGTGCATCGTGATGCCGATGAAGGAAGGCTATGCAAGTCATTTTGTGGTTGTTTGACTGGGTAGTGGTGGCCATGGTCCAGCCAATCATGCCCGCCGCCCGACTTTTGCCTCCCAAGGTACCGCGTGTACGAGTACCGTACCACAACAAGGATTTGGCGTGCTTGATATAAGCCTGCCGGACACCATCTCCTCGTGGGGCGTGAGACTGAGCTGAACGACGCAGGCCGAGACGCATTTAGCTTTGGCGATGCTGTAAGTAAGGGAATTCATGGCAGAACGATGCAACGAGACGACGGATGGCCCCGAGGGACACGACACCAGCGTCGCATCTTTGAAGCTAGCACTACCCAACGACATGATGACAGCCGACGCATGTCCGGCAAACATGCATTTCAAGTCATGATGTACTGCTGACTCATAGATCCGAAGCTGCTGCAAGGCTGACCTCTCACGCAAAGCCATCACTGAGCAGGCGAGATAATGTCCCGGGCATCCATCTCAATCGAAGGCTTTGGATGAGTTGATGCCCTTCACGATTCCGTACGACACTCCAGCAGCGGCACCACCGATGAATAGCGTCTGCAAAGCACCCAACGCCGAATCGCGCTGCGAGCATCCTGTGACTCTGGACTTCGTATACCCAAAAGCCAGCAGGATGATGCTGGTGATGCCGATGGATGCGATCAAAGCCTCCGAGACTCGCCGAGTGGCAAAGTATGGGATCATGGGCAGTAGGCCGCCTACACACCGTCAGCGCACTGCCCTCGTACCCACACCAAGCAAAAGATCTGACCAAAGAAGTAAGAGACACCCATCACCAAGCCCTCCATCCACGCCATCTTCGTGCTCGGCTTCTCAAGCTTGAGTTCAAAATCCATCATGAACTTCACCCACATGTCCACATCCTTCTTCAGACAATCCACTACAGGCACAACAGAAGTTCTCGCAATCCCATACTGATCAAAGATCTCATAAATCTCTTCCTCCTCTGCAGCAGCACATTCTGCCACTTCTCTTCGTTCCCGCCTTCATATAAATGTCAGCACAACACTTTTTCCGCGCATATTCCCGCTTCTCACTTACTCTTCCTCAACCTCATAATGCTTCTGATCAGTCACAGCAGCAAGATAAGCCCCCAGACCCATGGAGATCGAGCCCGCGAAGAGCTCAGCCAGACCTCCGATAACCACAATTTTCGACGAGCCCAAAGAGGAAAGTCCTGCCGTCAGCGCGAAAGGAACCGTAAGACCATCTGCGAATCCAATGATGCTGTCGCGGACGAAGATGCCATTCGCAGCATGTTTCTCGGAATGACTATTCTTCTCAGGATCTTTGATGGCAGGAGGTTTTTTCGCGAAGCGCGCTGTCGAGAGACGAGGAATTTTCATCGTGGAAGGAGAAGTAGGTGATTCCAACCAGGTATGACAGATACTTCGAAAGAAGAAGGTAGGTGTATAAGACGTACATTGATATATGCCACCTCCAATGAGGCACGAATGACATTTCTGCGACATCGTTCCTGTCTTCCGAGACTTACAGATCTATACAATCTATGGATCTGATACGCATTGGCAAATGGAATCGTTCGGAGCCTGGCGTACATGCGCTTGACTGTGTGGCAATGAAACGCGATTGCCTCCAGTGAGGTCTGCTGAAGTCGAGATTACCTTGTGCGTAAGTGGTCGGGCAGGCGCATCTGTCATGAGGGTGGAACCTAGGCCAAGCGGGAGCAACGTGTATGTGTAAAGGTACGACATGGAAATTCTTGGAAATTTGGGTTACTGAGTTGCGATGTCACGAGGAGGTGGACTTGGTGATCAATTTTAATCCACATCTTCAGTTTGGTAAATTCAATGTACGAGACGAGCTGAGACAGATAATCGCTTGCTCTCCTCTGCCGAGACAGTGAAATGCTGTCATTGCCATGAGAAATTAAGAAAATCTCTATTTTCTATGTGGTCGCTCAAACTCTGAAGCGTTATTCATCTTCCACGCTCTCCTCCCACGACCCGAGCACAAAAGTTCCCTCTGTGCATCACGAACCAAGGACTTGGCCTAGAGTCAGTACGAGCATGGACAGTTGAAGACGCCGGGAGCCCGGCAGACTCCAAACCGCCAGCCTTGGCAGAAAGGGCTGTTACATTTCATGAGCTGCAGCTTAACTGTGTTCCGAACCTGTTGAATGACTGTGGTCCAAATTGACCACATCCGAGGTAAGAATCACATGTTCCGCCAATTCTGCGGCCGAGATGGCCGGGAAAGCCCTCTGGTGGTGGTTGATTGACCACAATGGTATCTGGAAGCTTGATGTTGGGAAGGCCGAGACCTCCTGGCAGCTCAGGCAGGCCATCTTGAATTGTTCGAGTATTTTGAGCTCCTTGATGAGGAAACGGGATAACGAGCGACGGATGGCAAGACAATTGATTGGGTCGCCCTTAGCCTTTATATGGGCTTTCGCTGGATCGTGCTCTCACGAGTGCCGCCTGAGGAAAATTGGACAGAGCTATAGCACTGGGCCTTTCGAAGGCATCGTAGATGTTCGAGATGATAAGACTTCCAATGCTGGCAGGAGATCGCTTCTCATTGCTTGTTAAGGCCATGCGCGTGTCCGCTGGTCGAGCAGTGATCGCTCCCAGCAAATCGATGTCACGGTGTAGACGGCAAGATCGGCTGGGCGCCAACTCAGCCAGGGCTTCCCGAAGCCGAGCACACAACCAAAGGGGTTCGAAACGAGGACCATTGTGTCGAACCAAGGCACCAGATCGCAAGGGAATCGTTGCATAGCTTAAAGGCCTTCGCCAAGCCTTGCGCAGATGGTAACAAGGTGTACCAGCCATCCAGCCATTCCTGTCGATTCTTTCAGGCCGCCTCTTGCATGACTCAAAAACAACAAGAATAGGCCCGAGACATGCATGTGACCTCAGGCCCAAATAGAGCGGCATACAGTATGCCGGTCTGGGATGATCATACCATCGTTCCATCGTGAGCATCTATGCAACTGAGCTCAGGCCGTATTCCTGACTGGTCAGCTGGAGCCGGCTTGTGCGCTCAGGTCCCGGAGCTTGGTGCGGTCGTTGCTGCGCTCCGAACTCCAAATCAGTTGGACTCGTGAACCGATCATCCTGGACCAGGCTGTTGAGCGAGGATGGTAAAGCTACAACACAGCCAGGCGCCGTCTTGAGACTTGTCCTTCCTCCAGTGGAAGATGTTCAGAACAGAACGGCGAATGCCAGCCGGCATGCCAGTGATTTCGGTAAACATCTGAACTTCAGCATATCCATCCTTCTCGCGGACTTCAGTAACGGCGCTCACATAGTGCAGCTGCAATTCTGGGTTCTTCTGAACAACCTCTTGCCTAAAGCAGCATGTCGTGAGTCGGTTGGAATGACGAAGCGATGGTTGCGGAGTGTCATTACCTGTTCTGAAGCAATTCTTCCACAGAATCAGCATTACGCTGTCCAGAAGCATGTGCAGCGAAATTCGGAGCGAAGTGGTGCAGCAGATGCTCACATTTGAAGTCACGAGCATTTAATGCATACAGGAATTGCCAGCAAATAGCCTCAAGCTCGGATGCGTCCGATGCAGGCTGTGCCGTGCCCACATCGCTAGGCGTCGAAGTCGAAGCTTCGGGAGTCGGGCTGGTATAGCATGTGAGAAGCAGATTTAATGTATGTCGAAAGGTCTTACAGCATAGCTTTGAAAGAGATCATCGCCTAGTGCGAATCGCGCCCCGAATGTATTACTGGAGATCTGTATCCTGTCGTGCCATGGAGCGAGCTCGAACTCGTGAAGTCGCTCGTGGTTCAGAGGTGTACAATGAGATTCGCTGACTCAATATAGTCGAATGCAGAGAATGTTGGGATGGCCGTAAGACAGGTCATGAGGTATGCCGATATTGACACCTCAAATCTAAGGCCACAAATCTTGACCGCGGAGATGGAAGCCGGGTCGCGATTTCTCCTTTCGACAGTGGATCAACTTCAATGCTCAGTTGATCTTATTCACGCAGAGGCATCGGCATCGGCATCACACGGCCATTTCAACTGCCATGTCCTTCCTGTCGCCATCAACGAGACCTCTCTTTTCAGCAGACACAGCGAATTTTGTATGCAAGACATGCCGGCGCAATGCAGCTTCGTATCGAAGAACGAGAAAGCTTCTGCGCGTGAAGCAAGATCCTTCATTTGCGCCAGCGACGACAGAAACAAAAGACCACATCATTTTCAATCCACCGCCGAGCGTGCCTAACGTATACCACACACCGAGCAAATTCCTACCCCAGTCGGATCCGCGAAGAAAATTGTACGAAGAGGCATTATCGGCATCGAAATCTGGAGCACGAGCGCCTACAGAGAAAACATCAATCTTGGCTCGAATAGCGGCGCAGCGTCAGGCAACGCAAGTCAATGCGAAGAGTCTGAAGCCTGTACGGCCCGAGTACGAAAAACAATATCATCTCACCCAAGTAGAAATTGATGAAATTATAAGATTGAGGACGGAGGATCCATACTACTGGAGTCGAGTGCGCCTAGCGGAAAAGTTCAAATGCTCACAATTCTTCGTGAGCTTATGCGTGACAGCACCAGAGCGCGCGAAGCAAGCCGAAGCAAAGATTGATGCGATCAAGGATAAATGGGGTCGAACGAAGAGTGAGGCCAGACTGGCCAGGTCGGAGAGGAAGAAGCTCTGGGGCAGAGATGCGTGATTGTAGGAAAGATGATGGCAAGAAGACCATCACCATCAGAAATGGAATCGTCATTGGACGCCCACAAGACTTCTGGCACCGACGAGATCTCACGCCCTCGTGAGCAGAACGGCCATTATCCATGAGGGAGGGTCGCTGCCAGCTGTGCTGCATCTACCTGGAGAAGCATTGTCTCGGTAGCGTATGGCAGCGCAACCTTTGGACGTCCATCCGAACCTGCCTCGCCTCCTTTCGAGCCTGGCTTCCAGAGCACAAACTGGCAGCATCGCAGCGCCGCCATGTCCAAGAGCGAGGAGGGGTAAAGAAAGGGCAAAGCGCGGCACACTGCAGTGTAAATATAGCACATGCTGTAAGATACCAATTGATGAGAGGCTGTGGTAATCTCAGAGATCAGGCCGCCACACTACAGTACAGGCGTCCGTCACGATCTTGCGATCGCCTGGCAAGGTCCTATCACTCCGATCATAGTGCTTGATCTTGCGGCAGAATCACCCACTGAGGAAGCACCTCAATCAAACAGTATTTTGGAAGTCCTTTGATGCTCTACGGAGGCGTCGCCAACTTTAGACACTAATTTGCGTCGAGAGATACTGAACTAGGGCACAAACTTACAATTGGAGCCAACGCAATATCAAATTGGTCTTCTCTGCTTCTTGGCCATGCACAGCTATGCCACAAACTGTCTCCCCACCACAGGACGTGTTTTAGCATATTCTTTTCTCGGTACGTGGAAGTGCTCCACTACGAGTAGAATGAAAGCCAAGACTGACCTAGCCAGCCTTCTGCCTTCGCAACGGCACGCGATAATCTCACCCCTCGCCAATACCGCAAGGGAGTACCATTTACTGCCTCTGTTCTAGCGGGAGTCTTACCGATGAGACCCTCACACAAACCGTCTGTAACACATACCATCAGGCGACTACATTGTTTCGAATAGCTCGGATGGAAGTCCTTTTGCCGGCGAGAGCGCACTATCGCGCCCGCAGCCACTCTCTGAATCACTCGCCATTCGCAGTGCTTCAGCTCCGCTATCCAGATCTCGGACGTCGAGGACTGGAATCAGTCCTGTTACACAGTCTCTGGCCAGGCGCAGTACACCGGCTACTGCTTCAAAAGGACCGTGGAAACGGCAATCGAATGCAGCGATGGAAGTCATGGATGTCCAACTGGCCAAGAAATGTGCTGAAGCAAGTCATCATATCATGAAAGCGTTTCCGAAATCATCTCTGCACAAAGTTTCCCGGAAGTTCTCTCCGCTCAGTCTGCGTCCCTTCCAATTCCTGAGGCGGTGGCATCTGACTTGCAGCACTCAACTCCCCCGGCGGCTGCTGCTTCTTCTGATGCTCAACCGGAGCCTTAGATTCCTCCTGCGATGCATATGTCGGCAGTAAAGGCGTATGTTCTCGTGACGCACCTCCTTCTGTCGCCACGTTTTCCTCCTCAGCACTGTGACTGCTTTTCCTCCTCACAAGAAAGAATGCCAATCCTCCAATAATCGCCACCCCGACCAACCCACATGCTACACCAATACCTGCTTGTGCTCCTGTGCTCAATCCACCACCACCACCACCACCACCACCACCACCTCCTCCTCCTCCAGTACTGTTTCCCCTTCCATTGTCCCCGGTAGTCCTCGCAGTCCCAGTCCCAGTCGCCGTCCTAGTAGCAGTCCTCGCCGTACTCCTAGTAGCAGTACTAGGCAAAGCCCTCCACTCATTAGGACTCAAAGCCTGAAAAGTCTCCAAAGTCGGATGATCACATTTAAAGCCATCATCTCTACAACAATGCCATAATTGTTCCGTACGATTCCATCTGATAGATGTGTGCGAGTTGGAAGCTGGCCGAGAGTCAGCGATGACTTCCAATAAAAGCTCCAGTCTTTCCACTGGTGCGCACTACGTTCGCTTCCTGCACGCCCTGGGACAAACATCATCTTTATAACTCCCATCCGTACACCCACCCAAATAATATCCTGTCCCTCCTCGTCATCCATTAGGCCAGTGACATATGGAGTCCTCGCCACATTTTGAGCCTTTGAGACTGCAGAGAGATGCCCCGGTAGGTGTGGGTTGGGTGTTATTACCGACGTACCAGCCTGGTGAGGCTTTGGAGATGATTCGATTGGAAGTTTTCCAGAAACATTGGGAATCTGGAGTTTGGGCGGAGACAGAAGTACCAAAGTAGAAGAAGAGGAGTAGAATGATGGACATGTTGGACGGGGAACAGGTGAGTGAGAAGCGCGGATGCCACACGCGACGAGGTCGTGGCTTTTACGGTATAGGTGAAACTTTCGAAGGAATCATAGGGTATAAATTAAGCCAGCGGACTTGATGCGTTTGGGAAAGCGGCAGCGGCAGCGTTAAGCTTAATAAAAGCTATTCGTGAACATTTTCTTCGAGGATGGCTGTGATCGGCACTTCAGCCGCACAACAGGAGTAATTGTGAGTGGTCGACTTCCACTGTGCGTTCGCAGATTATTGGGAAGCTTGGGGTTGGCTTCGATGGTAAGCTTTTCACGTGCGAGCAAAGTGGTGAATGATTAGCAGGTTGCGAAGCTTTTGATCTCTTACGATCCAACCACACCATGCTGATGGGATCTCTTGACGTCGGCAAGCCGGCTATCCTGCAACATTTTCAGCAGTCTTCTCGCCATTGACGCCAATCTTCGCAGCCTCCCTTTCTCCATTTGTCGTTGGGGTGAACAATTTCGCAATCGCCTCGACAGTGGTGTTGCCACCACTGAGAATCACACCGATGTTCCATCCTTCGTTGCCAGCCATGCTCTCGACCAATAATCGAAACTCTTCATTGTAAAGCACAACCGCTAGTGTCGTAGCAGCAGAAGGCTCAATGAACAACTTTGCCCTTTCCATCGCCAGTCGTAAAGCAGCCTTGATCTGCTCTTCGCTCACGCTGAAAATACTCTCCAACTTGCTCTTGTCCGTAATGATACTCCAAGGTATCTCACCGACAGGCGTTCTCAAACCGTCAGCGATCGTCAAAGTCTTGACTTTTTCGATCCTCTTTCCCTGCTTTAACCCCAGCTCTGCATCATTCGCACCTTCGAAGTTTGGTTCGGCGCCGAAGACTTTGATCCCGGTCCCGTGAAGTGCAGTGCAAATCCCACTCAGCATTCCTCCACCACCGATTGGTGCTATAACTGCATCCAAACCTGACTTCTCTCGACTCACGCTCAAGTCAGGATGTTGTGATATCAAGTCTTTCGCCTGCTCTTCCAACTCCAAAGCCTGAGTTCCTTGTCCCAAGATGATATCAGGATGATCATAAGGTGGGATCAATGTCGCGCCCGTCTTTGCTATCACATCTCTTACGACAGCTTCACGCTCATCAGAAGTCGAGCCTGAGAAGATGACATTGGCCCCATGACTCTTGGTACCAGCGATTTTGGAAGGCGTGCTTATCGTGGGCATAACGATGTGAGCCGGGACGCCATGAGTTTTGGCAGCGAGGGCGAGAGCTTGAGCGTGATTGCCTACCTTTGCATATCAGAAAGATCGGAGAGTCTATATCATGGAGGTTTGTCTGGCATACCGCTGCTGTGTGTGACTACACCCGTCTTGCGAACATTCTCCAGGCCCTTTACTTCGATTAAGCGGCCAAGCGCATGGAATGCACCTCGTGCTTTGAAAGCTCCAATCCTCTGATGATTCTCGCATTTGAAGAATAACCTGATCTTTGGATTTGCTGTCCCATTACTTGTCTCGCCAACTGGTCGGCCCTCGTCTCTTTCTGATTGTGCGGTCGATGCTATTCTGTTGAGAGTTTCGCAAGTGACGACTGGCGTACGATGGATATAAGGCTCGATGCGTTTATGTGCATTTTTGACGGACTGCCGCGTGAGCGGTGGGCATGTGCTATGATCTGTCATTCTTCGAAGAGCTGCGGCGTGTCCAAGCTGGAATGTTTCTGAGGTGATGAGCCTCGGAAAATATTTCTGCCGAAACTTTGAAGCGTTGTCGGCGCTGGTTTCGCACACTCATTATGGCGAATGCTTGGTATATGAGTCCAACGTATACCGGTGGCTTGCATGATGGCAGAATCGAGGGGAAAAATCTAGAGGCTTCTGTTGCTGACACTCTAGCATCTTAACTCCACGCCTTTCCTACTCACTGTAAGATACTTGACTCCCTTGTACGGTTTTACATCTGGTCCAAGACCACGACTCTTCTTGGTGTCCAGGAGTAGACTGTCAACCTTTAAACCGCTCGCTAACCATCCTTTCACACTGAAGCTCAAGGTAGCAGAGCTGGGCATGAGTTCGGCGTTCCTATCACGCCTGCTTGGGTCGTATCCATTTAAGCCAGCATCGACTCCGCCATTTTTGGCTTGCTGAGCGCTCGATTCGTCGTTATCGTAATCGTAAGTCGTAGCACTCATACCATTGACAACACTAGAATTACCCTCTTCGCCATCGTCGAGCAATGGCCCTTGCACAGTACACCTGAGCACTGCTCCGCCAGGACCGAAGTCTTTGGGCGGTATTCTCCATTCCACGCTACCATCAGCTGGACTCCAGTGAGCTTCACCTTTGGTAGGGCGAATGTCGCTCAAGTTCCTCACAGTAGCGGGAAGTGGTATGTGCACAGTCAAGTCCTCCAGTGCAGGCGCCTTGGAGTCGCCAGTAGGTCCTCTGAAAGCTGAGCCACCGGCTCGACCTGATGAGCTGAGATGAGACTGTAGCGAAGCGGCTGCTGCTGATGTGCCTATGGACGATGGTCTCGCACGAACCTCGAAGTCTGCACCCGAGTGTCCCAGTCCAGTAGTGATCTCAATGGTCGCTGGAAGATCCAGCTTGTTCGAAGATGATCTCGAAGTGCTGAAGTTTATTTCTGGGCCTAGCAGGTCTGCTTCGTAGCCACAAAGTGCGAAACGTCCATCAGGAGGGACAAATGAGAGAACGCCCTCACTCTTCCATCTGCTCAATCGGACGCATGGGTGAAGTACCACACGCTCCATCACCATTCGTAACTGGTCGCCGCGCGTGCCCATCCCAGCGCCTTTGCCGCCTGTGCTTAGACTCAGCAGCAGATCTGGCACCCCACTAACTTTGGAGTTGAAAGCTATACTGCCATGCGAGAAGGCTGATAGAGTTCGACCTGACGGCGCCATGGTCACAGATAGCGACTCTACAATGTCCACGTATAATTCATTGCTCGTGTGCTTCACATTGCTCCGCCGCCATGGAACTGCTGATCCTTGTGCGCTCTGAGCAGGCTGTAGTGTTCTTGAGAGACCTCCTGCTGGACCAAATGCAGGACTCGCTCCAGGGATTCCAACACCTCCTAAAAGATTCTTGAGCACACCTGGGCCTGTCTCTACGACATCTCGCAGCGCATTTGCTTCGCCTTGACAGATGACACCAGAGTCGGCCATTTCGGCCACGACCTGTGCAACAATATCATAGTTTGCTGAAAGCTTTGTCGCAATCAATGGACTTCCCAGAAATTCTTCCAGAGCATCTGCAACCCTGTGCAGAAATTCGAGGACAACCAGTGGCTCAACATGGTTGGTGGCTGGCGACAGGAAGAGCAGATTGTCTTGAACGATTGAAAAGAGGACCGTTGGCGGATTGGTAGAAGTGATTTGGATCACGCTCGGTCGCGGCGATTCATGCTGGAGGTAGAGCGGGAGGACTATGGATGCTGCAGCTGGTCGGCCTGTGTAGACATGGTTGAACAGCACAGTGCTTGGTATAGTCTCAGTAAAAGTGTGCCAGGAGTTCGGCCAGTCTGCTACTTACGTACTTGTGCTCGTCGTAGATGTATAGCGCCTCAATCGCGCTCATTTTGTGCCGGTGCTATCTCATGGCTCGTTGTCGTGTGAGTTATGATGCTAATTGGATGACTTCACATGCGAATGGAAAGGTGGGCTGTGGTAGGGAGGCCTATACGTACCAGATTGTCAATACAGCACTTCTGACCGTAGCGACAACAACGCAATCTTTGCTCCTTCAAGTTCTTTTTAATATATCTTTTTATATAGAGGAGTTATAGCTTAACAATGTAGAACAAAAATACTCTAATTTGTATCTATTTTTAGAAAATAATAAAATTTCTAGTCGTTACCTATTGAATTTATAGGCTATATAGCCTAAAAGTCTAATTTAGAAGTTTAACAATTTTAGCATTTTTTAGGCCTTAGCATACTATTTTTAGTAATCTAAAATCTAGATCTTATAGTTTCATCTTATAAAAATCTAAATATCAATTTATATATTATTATATAAACTATTAGTAATATAATCTAGAAAGGAATATTATTTTCTTACTATATTCTCGTTAGTTTATCTTTTTATTTAGAAGAGCTATAGCTTAGTAATATAAGACAAATATACTTTAACTTTTATGTATTTTTAGAAAATAACTAAAACTATTATAGCTATATACTAAGATTAGCCTAAAACTCTTAGGTAAAGATTTTAAGATTTTAGTATTTATTAAGCCTTAGTATACTATTTTTAGTAATCTAAAACCTAGACCTAAAAGTTTTACCTAGTATAAATATATTTTGAGATTCTTATTTTAATACGCTTGCTATTAGTCTTAAAATCCTAAAGCGAATATTCTCAACAATTGTAGGCTTAGCAATTTAAAGTTTACAATTCTTAAGAATATTCTTTTCTAAGTTATAAGACTATTTATAGCTTATTTAAAGTAAAAGCTTTAATATAGATTCCTACTAGGTAAAACTATTAGGTTTAGGTTTTAGATTACTAAAAATAGTATACTAAGGCTTAAAAAAAGCAAAAGTCTTAAAATCTTTATTCTAGAATTTTAGGCTAATCCTAGTAGATAGCTATAACAATTTTAGTAATTTTCTAATACTAGATTAAAAACAGATTATTTTTGTCTTATATTACTAAGCTATAACTCGTCTAAAGAAAAAGATATACGAAAGGGAACCTAAGAAGAATTTAAGTTTTAAATTCTAGATTATAGAACTAATAGTAGCTATATTACGAGAAAAATCTTAAAATAGATTTTTATTAAGTAAAACTATAAGGCCTAGTTTTTAGATTACTAAAAATAGTATATTAAGACTCAAGAAAACGCTAAAATTCTAAAATCTCTAACTTAGAGTTTTAAGCTATATAGCTTATTAATTTAGGAGGCAACGACTAGAAATTTTAATATTTTCTAGAAATATACATAAATTAGAGTATCTTTGTCCTATATTATTAAGCTATAACTCCTCTAGATAAAAAGATATATTAAAAAGAACTTGTAGGGGCAAAGATTGCGTTGTGAATTCTTCATTGACAATCTGGTGTGTATAGAGCTCCGTCGTGTGGCCTGTGCGCTTCACTCCGCGCAAGCTTGAACTTCTGAGCCTCGGAGTTCGACTTCGCGCAACCACAGACATTAACACAACACATTCCGGAGCGTCTTCACACTCAGGATGAGCAGATACCACGAGCTGTAGTGCAACAACTCCGATCCCACCGGCCATTTGGGACATCTCTTAATGGCTTCCGATCCAGAACCAGCCGTCGCTGGCACGAAACGACCACACGATGCCTTGGACGACGCGCCTCAGAAGAGGCGACGAGTCCGACGTGGCGCGCTGCGACATGTACAACAACGTCCTACAGATATCGAACTAGCGCCGCAAGATCCAGTCTTCGTGCAAGGTCAGATCCTCAAAAGCATCAGCGCAGCCCTAGTGATGGCAGGCTACGACTCGGTCAAGCCTTCAGCGCTCGAGATGTTCCGCGCACAGGTGGAAGAATACATGCTGCAATTTCTGAAGCAGGCGCGAACATCTATGCATGCCAACAGAAGGACAAGGCCGACAGCGCTAGATTTCGCTTCAGCGCTTGCACAGACACCAATAACGCACACCGCTTCTCTGCTGGAGCCTCAACTCGATCTAGAGCTACCGGAAGATATCTCATATCCTTCCATTCCAGAGCCAGATCATGCGCCTCCACAAGCTCCAGACTTCTCTACACTTCTCCAACCGCTGATTGAGCAAAAGCCGCCAACGTGGATACCAAATCATTTTCCGGCACTCCCGCCACAACATGCGTGGAAGCAGACACCGGTGTTCCCCGCAAGAGAGAAAGATGCGCGGCAAATGCGCAAGAAGGCGACTGAGGAAGGCATGCTGGCAGAACAGGCATTAAGGAAATTGGCGGCTGCTGCAAAGACCAGCGCGATGCATGCTGAGAAGAGAAGAAGCAGCGTTTTGAGCGGCGAAGGCCGGGCTAGAGAACCAGCAAGATCGCATAAACAAGGGACGAAGGTGCATGAGGATACATTTGGAGACGTGCTGCGCGAGGTTGGTGGCGTCGAGGATGCCATGGAGTTAGATGGAGCGACGAACGTGAGGGATGGCATGGATCAGGGAATGCCAGAAGGTGTCATGGTCAATCACGATCTGGTGCATTGGCGAAGACAGCAGAGAGGACTCCGGGCATAAGGCTGAGTCATGCGTCATGGACCGATGAGCGCCATGTATCTCGAAGTGAGATTGTTTGAACTACTTAGCGTGGCGTTGGCAGGACCTTGCCTTGGGAATATTCATAGCGAGGCAGCACCGCGCTTCTGTATCATGAGCTGTGTGAACAGCAAGTTTCGAGCATACACATTGCTCTGCTACCCGCCTGCATCTCGTTCATTTCCTTTCTGCCTTCCTTCCCATGAAGCCCAGGTCACGTGCAACAAACAGACCTAGCCTCACCTCACTTTCCGGCCACATTAACTCCATCATATCGGTCCTCCCAAGCTGTCGTCTCAATCGTTGCGCCATTCGCACATCTACGTATTTCTGTCAGCTACCTGACCATAGGCCACTGGCGCTTCATCGCCAGCACACTCACTGTCTGAACAGCCGAAACACCGGCTCGCAAACGACTTTACTTTTTGGATCATTCCTCGGGCCACTGAGCTCGCAATTGTACTGTATCAATTCTTTGAGCTCACAATCCTGCAAGTTCTTGATCTGTGGTTTTCTCCGCTTTCCGCTGGGCAGTGCGTTGATCTTGTCCGTCAGCTCCGAGGCGTGGAAGGCTTCGACCAGTGGCGGCATTTCGTCGACAGCCAGCAGAAGAGTATTCAAGCCAGGCGATGTGATTCCCTTTAGGGTATCATTGGTGAAGGAAGGCGATACGGATTACTTTCTCGGGAACGATGAAAGCAGGAAGAAAAGATGAGCGCAGCAGATCTGGGGAAGAGGTTGCTGGCGGAGGTTGAAGAAGTTGGCTTTGATGAGGTAAGTACGGATGGTTGAGCTCAAAGACACAGGCTGACTTAGTACAGATCCTGAACACACTTCGACTCCAAGATGGCCATGAACGGAAGTATTTCGACATACCGCAACTGGATTCTTTCCTGCAGTGCATGCAGGAAACTCAGAATGCGACGTCTAACCTTCAAAGCTCTTCGCCCATGATCGAGATCACTTCGCAACGGCCATGCAGCGGCAAGACGAATCTAATGTACCATATGATTACCACAGCTGTGTTGCCCTTCAATCTCGGAGGCAGACAAGCGGCCGTCATTTTCCTGGACACGGACAATCACTTCTCCGCCACTCGCCTCGCTCAACAGATGCGCAAGACGATTGTAACGCACACCAGGGAAGAATTCACCGACGAAGAGTCACTATATCAAACTTTAGAAGACAGCCTAAAGCACGTTCACGTCCTCCGCCCACAATCGCTATCCGCTCTGATCACAACTCTTAATAGCCTTTCAGACTACCTCTTCGACCCCACAAGACACAAATCTTTCGACCGAGCAATCAGCTTCATAGCTCTGGACTCAGCCTCAGCATTCTACTGGCAATTTCGTGCCGACGCCGAAAACGCAGCTCTCCAAGCATCATTCAAAACGAAAGACTCTACAACCAAAGTCCAACAACCGACTGGATACATCCAGCTAGCGGCCTCACTGAAGAACGCATCCCGAATCCTCTCAGCTACCATAATCTACACAACCCGAGATTTCAACCCTCCTCAAAAATCCCCAGGCGGCCACTCGTCAGCATTCTTGCTACCAGAATCTCACTCAATCCGACCATCTTTACCACCGCCTTGGCCGAATCTCGCTACTCTTCGATTGATTGTTCGTAGAGCACCGATCAGGAGTCTTCCGGCTGAAGTCACTGTAGAGGACGCAGTTCGAGAAACGGAAATGAGGCAGAAAGTTGTTGCTCAAGGGAAATTCGAATGTTTCGTGAACGAATGGGGATTAGATGAACGAACATTACAAAACTTGAGAGAGAAAGGCAGTATGTTCGAGTTCTTCATTACAAGCCAAGGTATCAAGATTGGGGATGGTCCGGAATGAGGAGGATTGGTCGTCATTCCTAGCTCTAGTTCAATTCTGTCTACTTCTATACCCGAAACTTCTTTCTTTCTGTCGACACAGGTCTGCTCTGACTCAAACCGAAAATTTCTCCAAAAACATCTCAATACTAGGCGCTTTAGCAACCCGACTCACAGCAACTGCTTTCCTGACATCATTCAACAACCCTTCAGGCCCACAAGCAGCAATGAGCACCCTTTCATCCTCACTCAGACCTTCCACCGCACCACCCACGAGAGCCCTCACGTCCGGTCTGCCAGAAACTTCCCTCCTTACTTCTTCTCGCGAACCTCTCACAGCCACACGACTCAAATTGCCCATAGATCCCAATTTCTCTTCATCGCCAATGAATTCTTTCTCAACACTACTCCTCTCACTAACATCATTAATGCCTCCTTCCCTCTCTGCGGTACAAAAGACCTTAACATCAACTCTCCTCTCCTTCCCAAGTTCTTTGAATTCCTCCGCAAACCATTCCAAACAAGCCGAATCCCTCACACACCAGTAAAACTGCAAGACCCTCGTATCCCTCGGCGTCTTTCTTTTTCGAATCCATTCTAAAGCCAAAGCCATGGTAAACGTCACTCCAGAACCTCCAGCAATGAGCAAAACTTTTTGAAAGTGCTCGTGGACGTTGGGGACGTGGCCATAAGGACCTTCAATACTGGCTTGGAAATGCATGACACTGGGGTTCGAGCAAGCGGTGTCGTAGAGGGATTGAGTAAACCCGGCGCGGGATTTTATGAGGAGTGTTGCTTGAGGTGAGGCGGAAACGAGGGTGAATGGATGGCGTTGGAATTTTTTGATGGAGGGGATCCAGAGGAAGACGGATGAACCTGGGGCTGCGGAGATGGGTTTGTTGAGTTTTACGAGAGTTGCGTTGCCGGGGAGAGGGTGGAGTGTAGCAGTCGAGTTGTGGTAGATCCATCGGGAAAATCTGAAGGTTTGATCTGCGAGCCAGAGGCCTCCCGCCAAGCTTGTAATAATGAAAGCTTTGATCGTGTATTCTGGCCTATGCAGTCCTAGAGCGATGATAATGATCCCGACGAGGATGATATGAGCTGCGTAAAAGACTTCGTAGACACGTTTCCGGACAGGTCCGATTGAAGTTGCGAGGAGAGCCAGCATAGAGAAACCTGAGACTGCACCGGCATATTCTTTGGGGTCTGCCAAAACGGACTGAAATCCAGATTCGAAGAGGAAGGCGGTGTAGGTTGTGGAGTGGAGAATCATGTAGAGAATTGTTGTATAGCCGACACAGCGGTGCAAAATGTTGAGACTATCGAAGGAGTGGCCGGCTAGGGGAGATAATGGGGTGTTTTTGAGACCCAAAAAGACTGTGAGGAGGAGATTGAGGAGAGCTATCCTACATCAAGAACGTTAGTGTGGCTTGAAACTGGCAGTCAAGTGTCAAACTCACCATCCGAATCTCTTCGACAGCATGGTTTTCATGGGGGCGTTTTGAGGGCTGTCGTAGAATGTCAAAGCTGCATTGATAGCAAAGTAGAGCATTGCCAGAGTGAATTTTCCGGGTAGGATTGTCACTGGTCCTACTGATCGTGCTGTGCTCAGTCGTTGCATGGGACCTGCGATTGCTCTCACTGTCGACCGTAAAGCATTTGGTTTCCGTGACAAATGTGTGCTGTACAATTTTTGTGACCAGTGCGAGACGACGCACAACCCAACCAGTAGTCCTGTTGCTGCGGCCCAGTATCGTGCTGTGCTGTGATTCTTGGCAAGCCATTCTGCAAAAAGAATCTCTCTTCTTTGCTCCGCTGCAGCGGCGGCAGCGGCGGCAGCTGGACTCTGTGCGCCAGCCGACATGGTGATACAATATGCAATGGATGTGAACAATGTACGAGAGCTCTTGGGTATGTGTCCTAGAATAATGAAGCCGAGGATGCAAAAAGATCTTCGAGAGGCGAGCTCTGAGTAGCTCGAAGTCAATATGCACTTGCCTTTCCTGCTCGAATCCGACGGCTGGAGTGGAAGCGCTCATATACCTACTGTCCTAAACACACACCGTCGCCATGCATGAATGGTGCATATCGTCAACTCAGCACGCATACCGCTCTGAATCCTGGCTCCGGCAGATGAATGCCAAAGAATCCGCTAGGAGCATGGACTTCCGAAAGCCACGAGCCATCTTCACGATTTGCACAAAAGGCGGAGTCGCCTAGTCGCCCAGTATCTGTACCAGAGGCGATGCGAACCAGAGGATGTTCGGATCAAATCATCATGGAAAATCATGATGAATGACTGCGCCAGAAGCTGGGCACGCACCGGCTTTTCGCATGATTCGTGCCATAGTGCACCGCAAGGCAGAAGGATGTGGTTCAGATGCTGCAGCCCGTGCAGATGGGAAGATAGAGAGAAGCGTTCGAAAGCGTTGTGGATGCCACCGAATACCCGAGAGGCATGCACGCAGTCCAGCCCCGACAAATGGCCGTCATGATCATTTTAGGTCGTCGAATGAAAATCAGTCGGTGCCTGAAATGAATGCAAGCCTCATGTAGCTTATGTGCTGCCGCGTGGACTCGTGTTTCCAAAGCTTGCTGACTGTCAGAAAACGCCGTGTCTCAGCAAGACACCAGCCACATTGCTCAATCGCGACATGCTCTCGTCTGCCCATCAAGACCGATGGCTGTGAGTTGGCATGTGCGGTCAACGGAGCAAGGAACAGAGTCTCGTGTGCCGATGTCTGATGCACCCATCTTGATATCGTCTCTCAGTGATGGTGCTGTATTCAATGTACATCAAGCACAGCTACATCATCTGACAAAGATTGATACGTCGATAAGGGTTCCCGAATGTTTCTGTCCTGGTTTATGGGTCGTTGAAGAAAGGCGGAAGGACCGTCGGACTTCAAGGAGAGCCGACGGCAGGGTGCAGCAAGCTTAAATCTTGCCCAACTGCATGCAGTTCACGAGAAGATTCCCTGAGACAGATGCCCGAAGCATTGAGAAAATGCTCGAGTGGTTCCGCTGCTGATTGCAGATGCGAGGACATAAGACACGCAATGAGCGAAGATTGCCGGAATCCTTCCTGGCTTCCATCAATCCTGCGGCGAGTGAACCCCTCTCAGAGGCCGGAATCCCGAATGCTTGAATTCTTGGAGTCGCATGTGCTCTTGTGTTGTAAGCATATAATCCTCGCACCTCACTGCTTGCTGCAAAAGCCGAACAGTGCTGCTTATCTCCAAGCAATCAGACTCATGCTGGACCCTTACATCTGAGCTCTTGGGGCTTGCGTACACGCATTGGCACTGTGTGTCAGCGACGAAGACGTTGCGCTGTCTCTTGGTTGTGGGTCGTAGGGCTTTAGATGAACGTTTTCTCATTCGATGATGTCTCTGAGTCCAGATGGTTCGCAGCCGTCGTTGCGCTATCCCTGCCATGCTGCGGATTTGGCAGGATCACATTCCAGCGCTCGATTCACTTTTGAGTCTTGGCTTTCAGTTCCTCTTCTGCGACCAGATTGAGGACCTCCTGCTCTGCCATCCAGACTCTTACAGACTCCATTACCTTCTCCAAGGCTTGGCCACCTGCAAGTACATCGTCGAGGTTTCTCAGGTCAAGACCGCTACGGTGATCGCTTACTCGCTGCTGCCCAAAATTGTATGTTCGGACCTTGTTTTCTCTGCCAACCTTGCCTGCGCCAGCGCCACGGCGAAGTTTGGCTATCTCTTCTTCGCGTTCTTCCCGCCGATTCTGCGCTATCCTGCTCCGAAGAACTTGCCATGCCTTTTCGCGATTTGTGAGCTGACTCCTGCTGTCTTGCATGGCAACTACTATGCCCGATGGTGCATGCGTCAGTCGTACTGCGGATTCGGTCCTGTTAACGTGCTGTCCACCGGCTCCGCTAGCCCTCATCACCTCCGTCTTGACATCCTGAGGGTTCACGTAGTAATCACTATTCGGATCATCGAAGCTGTTCTCCCCCAATTCACCCTTGCCATCATCTGCCACGCTCGGCAGGACCAGCACACTTGCGGCTGAGGTGTGTGTCCGCCCTTTGCTCTCAGTGGCAGGAACGCGCTGCACACGATGAACGCCTGCCTCGCAACGTAAAATTCCGTATGCTCCTGGCGTCTCGACTTCCAGAACAGCTTCTTGAACGTGGGTATCGGATGCGGCGGCAACGCCAGTCGATTCGGAGGTTTCGAGCTTCAAAATTGTAGCGCGAAGATCGTTGTTTGAGCAATAAGCCTGATACATGCGCAGAAGATCGCCAGCAAAGAAGCCAGCTTCGTCTCCGCCTGCACCGGGACGAATCTCGAGTAGGCATGGAAGATGCGCGAAAGGGTGCACCGGTATGAGGCTCGTCTTCAGATCTGCAGTTGCTTGTCCAATGCGCTCGTGTGTAGGCGCAACATCGTCCTCTGCCAGTTCCCGCAGCTCCTTGTCGGATGATTTGAGGAGTTTTTGGAGCTCCTTCAGAGTTGAAAGTGCCTTGTCGTATTCTTTTATTGCGGTTGCTGTTTTTGATATCTCGCCGATTCGCTTTGCGCACTTCGCATCGTAATCGGCAGCGAGCTGTTCAGTGAGTTTGCCATGTTCTGCGGCGATGTTGCGAGCTCTCGAGAGCAATGCAGGAGAGATGCTACCGTCGGCGGCTGCTGTTTGGATATCAGTCTACGAACCAGATAGCAGCAGTTTACTTATATGCACCTGTACTCTGCGCACATCTTTGAACTTTCAGCTGACGATTGATGGGCCGCGTAAGCTTTCGCATGCATTGCGAACAAATCCGAGGCGTGAACATTGAGAAGAACAGTGATGCCTCGTACAAACTTTTGAGGATCGCGTTTTGGGGAAAGCCCGAACCCGAAAACCCGATGACAAGTTGACAACTGCTATGCGGCAATGCACAGTATCCATCACCACCAACACAAATGAGTAAAACTTATTGAAATCACATACAGACAGTGTATCTCTCGCTGTATGCCCCAGTGACGCTTTCTGGTCAGCCTCTCCATGCCATGCGACGTTCGTAGCTGCCACGGATGTATCATACTCAGCAGTTATCTGCATGCAGCCCATTTCCGTTCACATGTTTAAAACTCCTCCCCAGCACCACTCAACATAGATGTAGCCATAGACAGCAGTTTGCCCATCTGCTGCTCGTCGAGCGACTTGGTAACCTCCAGCAGCATCAAACGCTTCTCAATTTCGGACACAGGACGGAATCCCGATTCGCGGCCGGCGAGGTCGATGGGCACGACCCGATTATCCGTGTTCTTGTTGACTTCCTTGGCAGCTGCAGTCTTCTCTGCAGTCTGAGGGCCGCTCTTGTCGATGTCGTTAATCGACTTGACAACATCAAAGTCGCCTCCGATGCCGCTTGCTACCTCATCCCAAATCTTGAAGTAGGGGAGCCCATACGCTCGATACGACTTAGCTGTGATTGGTGTTGCTGGAGGATCGAGACCCGTGACCTCTTTGAATGTCTCAGAGTTGAGGATCTGCACGTTGAAGATGGTGCCATTTGCAGAATCCCAGCGGCGAGTATCATCAAGTGTGTCCTGAAGAATAGTCTGGCGAATGAAGCCTCCTGCACCCAGGCCCATCTGAGCGGATTTCGAGGCGTTCCGGTCAATGCTGCGTTGGTCACCACCGCCGCGAAGACGCAAGAGGAGACGCATGGTGCCACCCTACAATAATGGTCAATCTACAGCCAAACGTATGCATGGGAGCACTCACCTCCTCCACCCCAGATACTCGGTACCTGCCGTCCTCGTAGTTCTTGCGTTCAACACATGCGCCTAAGTAACATCCTGCGCGAATTAGCGAGGACGATCTAGCAGTCAGGCTAACAAACAAATACCGTCTTGCAACTGTTGCCCATCAGCAATGAGACGCTGTTGGTCTGGTGGAATACCCTCCCTATCCTGGATCATCATTTTGATGTCATCGATGGTGTTCAATTTCGTGGCTCGAAGAGTGATAGTCTTTCCAGTCAGCGTCCTGACGAAAATTTCCATGCGCTTCACGTCGAAGTGCGACGCCTTTGGGTCCATGGTGAAGATCGGCGTCTTGACCGGTGTAATCTCAATCTGCAGCCCACCAATGCTTTCTTCGCCTGTAATTTGGGATTCGACGGAGTACCCACTGCCCAGCGGCATGGCCACGAACTGCCGGACACGGCCATCAGTCTGAGCGACACCATTCAGCCATTTCTGCTGTGGAGTCACGACGTAACCTTGAAGACTCTGTCTGAGGTCGAGACGTTGCAGGCGGCGCCGAATCGTGTCCGCGGTCTCCCGCGCTGGCTCGCCAGAGACCGCGTTGACACCACCGATGTAAATTTTGATTGCAAACGGCTCCTTGCTCTCGAATTGAATCCAGCACGCCTCGTGCTGGTACATTGGCAGCAGAAGGCCGCCCTTTTGCTTCACCGATGCAGGGAGCTTGTTCATGTACAGCGTGTTGAATAGTGGGAAGCGGCCGAGGCTGGGCGGAAGCTCATTCGTGTCACCACTGTCACTAACGCGCACTGTACGGTGGAATGAGATCTTCAACTGCTGGTCATAGCCGAGGCCGACGCTCCTCGATACTGTGTCACGGTAAGCATTTCGCGCACGGAACGCGAAGACAAGTAGCACTGACCGATAATGCGATCCTGCTCGAGGCTAGAGCCAAGGGGGGCCTTGCTACCCTCATAGCGCGCCTTCGACATCGTTGATGATGATGTCGGATGGTCTTTGACTGTGAGCGACTGAAATCCGAAGTAAGTTCAAACCGAAGCTCAAACGGCACAGCGAGGCAAGAGCTCGCCGCGCCAAGCTTTCACATGTGGCCACCCGCCTTCGTCCGGCCGTCCTCTGAGTCTACATCGGCAGTGCGGTACAACCTGTGACACCAAGTCAAAGTGCTTTTGAATACAATATGATTCGTCTATCTAGATTCATGCAGCTTGTTGGTATGGGTGGGAAACGCCATCGCTTTGCAATGTTGCTCGCGCTTCCATGAGCTGCGAGTGTGAGCACATGCCGTAGCATGCTGTCGTCGTGAAATCGCTGAAGTTTTGGAGAAAAGCTCACAAACCGCTAGGCCATTGTCCTCCACCTGGTCCTTGTGACCTTCATGTTCCAGCTAAGAGGCCTGTGAGCGCGAGCGCTGGCCCGCTAAGTGCCGCTCCGTCCAAGCCTGATTGCTCATCGAGCCGTGACTTCGTGCGTCGTAAATATGAGCAGTTTACAAGTCTGGGTCCTCCTCGTCAGGAAGTGGCATGTTGGCCGCATCCTGCATTTCCTTCTGTGCAGCCTCCATGGCGGCCTGGTCGACCTGGACCTCTGGTGGTGCAAGAGCTGGAGCAGCGACGAATTCCTGGTGATCTATTAGTCTCTGATTTTTTGGAGGGATCGAAATTTGACATACCAAAGATTGATTGCCCACAAGCTTTCGTGCGAGCCACAAGAATGGCTTCTCGAAGTTGTAGTTGGACTTGGCCGAAATGTCGTAGTACTGCAGGTTCTTCTTGCGATGGAAGGTGATGGTCTTGGCCTTGACCTTGCGCTCCTTCACGTCGACCTTGTTGCCAGTAAGAACGATCGGGATGTTCTCGCAGACGCGGACGAGATCGCGGTGCCAGTTTGGAACGTTCTTGTAGGTGATACGAGATGTGACGTCGAACATGATGATGCCGCACTGGCCGTTGATGTAGTAGCCATCACGGAGACCACCAAACTTCTCTTGTCCTGCAGTGTCCCACACATCGAACTGGATCTGGCCGAGGTTCTGCAATCATGTCAGTATGCCACTCTTTCTCCTGCGATCCTTCTCGATTTTGCTTACGGTGGTGAAGCCAAGTGGGTGGACCTCGACACCGAGCGTGGCAATGTACTTCTTCTCGAACTCTCCGGTCAAATGGCGCTTGACGAAGGTGGTCTAGATAATGCTCGAGTCAGCTTTCTGCCCATTATTTCTGCTCCGCTGCCAGATGGTCTCTCCTGCGCGCAGCTCGACCATCACTGACCTTTCCGGTGCCGCCGTCACCGACAAGCACGAGCTTGAAAGTTGGAGTTTGGCTCTCGGCCATGTTGTGCGGTCGTGCGTGAGTGTGATTACTGTTGTCTGTGGATGCGCAGTCGCTGATGTGCAGTCGCTGATGTGCTTCGGTTGCCGCTTCTCGTGGTGATGGAGTGCGGTTCGAGGTGGTGTTGGTGGTGATAAGAGTCTGGTGATTCGTCTGAGGAACAAATTGTTGATGCGGGCTTCAGAAAATGTCCGTGCGTTCTTTCCTCGCCCTCATCCGTTGGGTGTCTAGGCGACGAGGTGCCTGCGCCTGCCTGCCGTCATCTTCACCGCCAAGCCCCTCTTCACTTTTTCCACGTTCACATGCCGAGCCAGCACTTCATGGCCATTGTTTTCACTATCGGCCACAGAACATAGACCGTCAGCCAGCATGCCATGCTCAGGGCTCTCAGACAGCGTCAGCCATCTTCGTCAGGCGCGGTGAGCCACCCATGCCAGCCTCGAGGCGCCAATGAGATTCTGCAAAATGCCCAACTCCACGAATCCGAGCCCAATGAATGTCGCTGCCAACACACGCTGGGTCTCGCAGACAGCACATGCAGTGCTCAATGTGTCTTTGCCATCACCTCGTACTTCATCACACATGCAGTCCGATACACTCGGTAGGCTGGTCAGGAACACGGTGATTTAGAACCTCCCGACGGCACAAGGAAAATCGAACAGGCCAATTTTCTTTTACTGCGGCTGTCTCACTTGACCGACAATTTCAAACCTCTTTCACATCGCTCTCCTACGACCCTGACCAGCTATGCGAGCACAATTTGGTTCCGCCTCTTGCGGCAAAGATGATTCAGTAGAGTCCAGTAGACGCACCACAGTTCGGGCAAAGGTAAGCATCGTCGAGATATCCGCAGACCTCCGAACCAGACATCGTTTAGGGTCCTCTCAAATTCTCATATTGCATATGCACTCGCAAGTGCCATGCAGCCTTCGGTCACAAGATAATTCGTTCTTCCCGTTCTTCTGCATGCTTGATCCAGAATGGAGGTCAAATCACCATTTCCGGACAATCAGTACGAGACCACACCTTTGCTACCATGCCGACACTCAAGCTGGAATCGCTACATGAAACTCGATGCGCGGCAATACCCAAGGCTGGAAGAGCAAAGAGGTATCATTGCATCAAATCGCACTCTTCCAGGACAAGTAGCCCCGCCCACAGCACTGGAGTTGTCCTTTCACTTGACCTGCCTGTGCAGCTTTTTGGCCATTCCAGTCGGCTGGATATCGATCAACTGGCTCGCTAGGAGTCATACTGGGCTCGTTTGCAGGAGGCTGCCCTTCATCGAGAGAGCTCTCAACACCATCAGACTGACATGGCTTGGTGTGTTGGGTCTACTCGTCTGGACGCTCCTGAATATGGCCATGAATTGCAGTCCCGCTGTGGAACGGTGGCTTTCCACTGTCCAACTCAGGTCTTCAGCGCAAATGCTGTTGATCACCATCCCGGTTAGCTGTCTCTTGCTGGAACAGTATCTACAGGATCCCGGAACGATCTTAGACTGCAAATTGTATATGTCATGAAGACACACGAGTTACTGGTGTTCGGGAGAAAGCATTAATCGGGATGCTGGATATTGAGATCTCACTTTGTCCGCCAAGCACGGTCGGTAGCGAGCCTGGATCGAGGAGCTCAAGATGGCAACAGCCTCTGGCTTTCTTACGATCAATCTGCGGCAATAATGGAGAAAGGGCCAGTTCTCAATTCTCCATACAAGGAGATTGTCTGTCGAGTAGCAGTATGCGCTATGAATAAAATCCGCGAGACATGACTATTATCTGTGACTTGCCGAGTGCCACTCAAGCTGCACTGCAGATTCGTAGCATTGCCGCGAATTCTCCGAATGCTCAGCGAGAATCTTCCAACAATTGTGTGAGTGTATATCGACATTCTACAGAGCCATCTTCGTTCATCGTAAACCGATCAACACAGAGTCACGAGGTTGTTGCGCCAAGTGCAGATGCTAAAGCTGCCCGAGATGGGTGGGATAAGGTATGCTAGAGCGCGCTTTTGATGTGCTCAACTCTGCCAGATGTTTCCTCGGTCGTAGCAAGCATAGATGGCGACAATGCGAGAATTGTGGTTTCGTAGATTCAAGACCACTCTCAGCAAAGATTTCTGGCAAAACGCCTCCCGGCGTGATAGTGGTATGGATCGAGGTTATGGGTATGCGGATGCGAGCATGGAGGTTCAGGAACATGATCAAGCTTGCGAGGAGTTTGGGTCGTCGGGTTGACCGGCGTAGCAAGCAAAGGAGGAAGCCCTCGTCCAGAGTCGTCCAATCTAGGCGATCAATTGGAATGGAGTTCGGGGCTGAATGGTTGGCCGACGGAGCAGGTGCCAGCTTGCGAGGCGAGGCTTGCCACGGCTTGCATTCCAGATGGCACAGACAGCACACGGTCCGGATGCACCTGCACCGCAGCCGCAATGTTCTTGGACACAGTGACATTCAAGTTTGGCCCGCGTCTGAGACACGACACTCACTGCCGTACTGCTCTCCATCTCCACCTACGCGATCAGCTGTGCGCTCTCTGTCGCTTCCATCGCATTTCCTGTGCGACTTCATCTGCCCTACCCTACACGCACACTCAGCCAGCAAACGCCTCTCCCGCCTCGCCTCTCCGAATCCTCTCGAGCCTCGCTCGGGAGTCGGGTGCTCCTTCAACGGCGAGCCCAACAGACAGCGTCTGCAGCCGCAGCCCGTGTTTCCGAGTGACCTTTCCCACGTGCGCGTGACGACAACGCGCCTTCTGCTCATACCCTCTCCAAGGCGCCCAGGTCATGGAGTTGGACTGCTAAGCGAGCGCGAACGCACTTTTGGAATGGGATACTCGGGCATTGCGCCCGGTCTCAGGCCCGCTGTTGAAGCGGACGCACTATTTGCTGGCCTGGACGGACACCGGAGAAAAGAGCAAGAGCATACGTGAGGGACAGACGGTCAAGACCACGAAGAGAAGAGGAGAAAGCGCGGCCACGCCTGCACCCTGGCTGGTGTGAGCATTTCGCCGTACAATTCCCGGTCCGCTCGGCCTAAGGCATACCATGCGCATCCCGATCTTCCTTCAGCTGGCCTCTCTCTTGCTGATATCTTCCCTCATTGGACTTGCCGTCATATCGATCGCAGTATGGATCACGACCCACAACTTCGTGCTCGATATTCGAGCTTCGCGCCTGACGCTCACTGCGAGCCTGAAAGCAGCCGAGTTGGCAAGCAATCTGGACGTCATGCAGACTTCTGCAGGCTTCGTCAGCACGCGAGTTTTAATACAGCAGGCGTTAATCCGATACGACACAGGCGCCAACCCAGACCAGGACTGGAGCGAATCAAAAGACGACCTGCAGGCTGCAATTGGTGGTATGGCGTCACTCGGACAAATTCTCCTTCTTCAGGCCAGGGTATATCCGAAGAACGACGCCGGAGTGAATGGACGATACCCATTACTCAACGTCACTTCTGGAACGAAAAAATACTATTTGCCATACAATTACGCAAATGGGTCATCAGTCCTGCTTGGAGACGAGGGTCCGGCCGCCAATGGGACAGGGTTCCCTACAGCACTGTATCCGGAACTGGTTTATGGTACTGCTGACGGTAACGAGAATTCTCAAGTCACCTTCGATGGTCAAGCGATTACTAGGGAGAGGACATTGGTTCTGGGACCTTGGCCAACTAGCGATACTGTTTCGTTGATGTCTCTCACGCTACCAATCGAGGACAACCTTAACCAAGCAAACATTTTGGGCTATTTGACAGTGGTCATGGACGCTCGGTTGATACTTGACACCGTGCACTCTCGCGAGGGTTTGATGGACACAGGACAAACCCTTCTGGTGTCAGCTGAAAGCGCGACAAACCGATTTCCCGGAGGTCTGAGCAATGCAAGTCTCGGCGACGGCACCAAGGTGCGCTATGTAACACCCGTGGAGAACGACATTGGTGGGAGACATCCAAATAATGTCGATAACTCAACCGAGCCATTCAATTCAAGCACGTTCGCAGCCATCAACAAGGCTCTCGACAATTATGGTAAGAACGAATCTGACCGCTCTGGATCAGCTCTGAGAGCGAAGAACGAAGCGAAGAAAGCCGTCAGCGTTGGCTACGCATTTCCGGACACGACCCTGGTTGACTGGCTGGTTCTCGTTGAACAGTCGCGGGCTGAAGTCTGGCGGCCCATTACCACGCTCCGCAAAGTCATACTTGGATGTCTATTTGCAACATTCGGTCTCATGGTCATCATATCTTTCCCGCTGGCGCTCTTCGCAAGTACTCCCATCTTGCGGCTGCGCGATGCAACGAGGCGGTCTATCGACCCTTCCCACTCGGCTAGTCGTTCGAGTCTGGATTCACTGGGCTACCTTCGCGATGGTCCTGCAGACCAGACAGAACGAGTGGACGAGACGGTGGCGAAAAAGGAAGGCTTCGTCAATCCAATTACACGATGGAAGCTGAATCGTGAGCAACGTTCTCAGGCTAGAGGCGAAGAGCATAGAAAGCGGGCATTCAAAATTCCTGGAAAGGTTAAAGAGCGGAAATGGTGGATTCGAGACGAGCTCACAGATCTTACTTCGACTTTCAACGAAATGTCGGATGAGCTTATGATGCAATATTCCAAGCTCGAGGAAAGGGTTCAGCAAAGAACGGCTGAGTTGGAAGTAAGTAAGAAAGCCGCTGAGGCCGCCAACGAGAGCAAGACACTCTTCATTGCCAACATCTCGCATGAGCTCAAGACGCCTCTGAACGGTATATTAGGCATGTGTGCGGTGTGCATGCAGGAAGAAGATCCACTGCGCCTCAAGCGGTCACTAGGCATCATCTACAAGAGCGGGGACCTGCTGCTGAACCTACTCACGGATCTTCTTACGTTTAGCAAGAATCAAGTTGGCCAGCATCTCAGCCTAGACGAGAAAGAGTTCCGGCTTCGCGACATTCAAAGTCAGGCTTTGGCCATCTTCGACAAACAAGCAAAAGACGGCAAAATCGACCTTCGCGTAGAGTTTGAAGGCATTTCAAACCTCACGGATGACAGTCCTCCGTCAGACCGGCAGTTCGCGCTCGGTCCACTTGATACGGGCCGCATGAGAGACATGATCTTGTGGGGAGATGTGCATCGCATCTTGCAAGTGGTGATCAATTTACTCTCAAACTCACTGAAGTTCACACCTCCGGGCGGATCCGTGGTTCTCACGATAAGAGCTTTGGCCGAGTCTCGGGAGATGGGCAATCGCTCGCCATCGATCAATTCGCGCCAGTCTAGACTGAATTCGTCAAGGCACAGGACATCAGAAGCGCAGACTATCCACTCGCTTGACAGACTTGGTACTGCCAACTCGATCAACCCGAAGGGCAAGCCGTCTCAGGTTTCAATATCAGAGAGGAATGTATCACCACCCCCAGGCCGATACATCTACTTTGAGTTCGAAGTGGCGGATACTGGTCCAGGAATCAAAGAAGATCTTCAGCAGAAGATCTTTGAGCCTTTCGTGCAGGGCGACCTTGGGCTTAGCAAAAAGTTTGGGGGCACCGGCCTAGGCCTCAGCATTTGTTCACAGCTTGCATCGCTCATGAAAGGCTCGATAAGCCTACGCAGCACTGTTGGCCTGGGCAGCACCTTCACGCTCAAAATACCGCTTCGCCACCTGCAGACTCGCGCTGACAGTTCAGCTAGCTCGGCAGTTGAGAGGCCAGGAATTGAAAACGACAAAAGAGCCAACTCGTTCGACGAAGTTAGAGCCTCGCCGAGTGCGTCGATACATGGACCAGTGGAATATGAACCTGCCGCGCCTTCAACTGCTGTGGCAACGGAACAGCCACCAGTCACTGGTGATTTGAACAACTCCAATCCTCGGTTGGTTGGGCTAAGTCAACCTTTTTTCGCCTCCAACCAGCCCCTAGAGTCCCCCGGATCGCAACCAGCGGCGATGGACCAGATAGAGGCTGCAGCCAAGCGAGGCGGCAAGATACGAGTGCTCGTTGCAGAAGACAACAAGGTCAACCAAGAAGTGGTTCTCCGCATGCTGAAACTTGAGGACATCTACGACGTCACGGTTGCTAAGGATGGCCAAGAGGCTCTTGATATTGTCAAGGATACTATGGCAAGCAAAGGACAACCCTTCAACCTCATCTTCATGGATGTGCATATGCCGAACCTTAACGGCATCGAGTCTACAAAAATGATCCGGGAAATGGGGTACAATGCTCCCATTGTGGCTCTCACAGCGTATTCGGAGGAGAAGAACGTAAAGGATTGCCTCGACTCAGGCATGAATTATTTTCTGTAAGTGTCTTGCCGCCTGGGCATAGTCACTCGTTTAATACTGATATCGTGCAGCTCCAAACCGATCCGCCGGCCGCAACTCAAAAAAGTGCTCAAGGAGTATTGCGCTCCAATTCCCGAAGAGCCCGAAGGAACTCCGCCATCCGATGAACGGCGAAGAAGCATCGTCATGGTAAACAACCACGCTGATCCTGCTGCTCCACCGACGTTCGTATCTCGAGAGTTGACTAACGGGCATTTTGAAAATACTACAGACCTCTTCTCCATAAGAGATTCTTCATGTACAACGAACACGACAGACGACAATGTGCGGTCGGTTTCACCGCGGCAAGTGGCATAAACGGGCAGATATACATGTGATGGCTGGCATATTTGATTTTGTGATCGGCGTTTGTGTGGGCATGGTGAAAACAAAGGCATAGTGCCTGGATGCGTGGGTCAGGGTTCTAGGTTTCGATGAATAAGTAATTGAGCGAAGGTGCATGGCGTTGGGAGTCAAATGCAACCGGTACCAGGCAGTGTCGAGAAAAAGACGTGTAGAAGAGGCATTGGTGGGAAAATGGAATGGGGTGGGATGGGAAAGGATGGGTGCTGTAGGTGTTGCTGATTCGTGACGATGAATTCTCTCTGAAATGCATAGGAAATGAGCAAAGATGGTTGCATGTTCAAGCCAAAGCGTGTCTTCACTCACCACACATCACTCACCGAATGTGTCTTCCTTATGTTCTCTCATCGCCGCTGCCTGAGGGTTGCCAAGGCGGCCTGTGCGCGCCGAACGCGTCTCCTACCTGACCTTCTGAAAGCTCTCCGAACATACAAACACGTGTCACAGCCTCCTGACCCCATCAACATCAACATGGACGCACACGGCACGAATCAGCCTGCTGAAGAAGTATGCCGATTCTTCGATTTGCCTCGAGAGTTGCGCGATGACATCTATCGCCTTGCCTTTGCACGCGAGAACGACCACTTCAAGATCATAATGAAGGCGAAATGGATGCAGAACGAGCGGAGCCGACGTGAGATGAATAATGTACGCTCCACTCGTCCTGTGCGCCCTTACCACGTGTATCCAGTACATGCTAACCTCTCCAGCGGCGGCAACTTGGCTACGTACCTCGAGTTGCAAGCCCCTGTCCGCTGCTCGGCATGAGAGTCAACAAGCTGTTCTTTAGAGAAGCTACTTCTCAATGGCTATCTTCCACCACCATAGAGTGTCACGACGGCTTCGACGTCAACAACATGCTTGAGCACTCAACCGCATTGAGAGAGAACATAGTCCACTTCCACGGCGACTGGAACTCATCGACCCTGCTCAGCAAGACCCGATGGCATATGTACAGCTGTTTTCGGGGCCTCGGACTTTGCCAGAATATGAGAAGTCTTCGCCTGGTCGTGTGCGAAGGTGCATTTGAGGCCTTCGAGAATCGCATGTCCTGCGTCGACAATTTCGCCGATGCGGACTTCAAGACGATTATGGAAGTTCGGTCAATGCTGAACATGAAATCGCTGGCGAGCGTCACTCTAGAGCCAGAGAAGAGTAAGCTGGCCGTCTCCGAAGATGAGAGGAAGCTGTGGACGGCAAATGTTGCTGCTCTCGAGACTTACATTAACCGTAAGCTCAAAGAACGCGATGCCAAGAAGAAATTGCAAGCTACCGGAAAGCACGCCCGCGAGGAGGAGCCTTTCGTGGTGAAGCCAACGAAGAAGCTCAAAGCACCCAAGTCCGTTGCTGAGGATGAGATTGCCAAGGACAGCGACTTTCGTGCTGGCCACGATACCACTCATGGGAGCATGGGAGACTGTCGCAGCGTTCTCGGTTTCACACGACACCACCCAGCAGCTGCCGCCATGATCACGACTGCCTTTACCCTTTCCATTGTCAATTCAATTGTTCTGGCAAAACAGCTGCTCTAAGAGCTTGATTTGGGGGCAGACATCCGCCAGTTTCGAGCAACACCTAGACGATGCAGATCAAAACAGAGACACGTGAAATTACAGCTCGGTCTTGTTGAAGATCATTCAGGGCTCAATTGCCAGATTGCGCTCCCGGGATTCTCCCTGCTCTAGTCTTGCTTGATATCTCGAACCGCGTAACGAGCCGTGGTTCTGAACGAGCATCGGACAGCACGGTTTCGCTGCTGAATTGGAACACAATCCTATCACCTACATATGCCACAGCAGAGAGCACAGCTCTCCAGACATTAGCCGAGCACAGAGCATAGACTGCTACCAAGCCTTGGAAGGCAGAAGAGTCTCGGCCTTGATGTACTAGATAATTGATTCCCGCATTATGGCGTGCTCAATAGCCAGATCGCTTTGTCCCATTGCTTACAGCTTATCGCAATCTGTCACTCTTATAATTTGCTATTGATGGTCACGAACGACCCACGCTCAAGAAGCGAGGCACTTCGATACCAAGACCAGGATCGCATAATACTCGCACTCTTTACGGACGGACAAGCGGATCTATTCGAGCAGAAGGCATAGTATGACACCTCTCAAAGCAGGGCTGGTTGTGTGTCTGTTGCCAGGATCAAAATCTCCCAGTCATCATCAAATGACGCACCGAGAATAAGTACGAAATGCCGGTCAGGAATTTCTTGTCGCTTTGATCAGTAGATAGGTATATCAATGACTTGCAAGCAGCGGCGATAGCGCAGATTTGGTTACGCGCTACACTGGCAGAGATTGAAATGAGTGGAGAAGAATGTGCTTGAGGGAGTTGATGGTGTTAAAAAGTAGGCATATTAGATCGATAGATTCTTGGACTTGGGACCGAAATGCAAGGCCTCGGGATCGTAGCAGAGACTTGCGAATCTACCTCCTTTCAGGCGCCCCGATTTGTAGGCTGCTTGGACCTGCCAACAACTCGTGTGTTACTTCCTTCTGCAATGAGTGAGTCACTGCTGTTCTAATCCGTTCTTACATTATCTCGGCACTATACTATATATGTGTTAGTAGTAGTCTAAGCGAAGCCTATAGCGGAGCGCCTAAAACTAAACCGTTCGTCCTCTATACAAATAATCTATACTCTTTTTTACTACTAAACTTCTATATCCTCTAATACTAACTATAAAATCTATACTAACCTCCTTCCTTTTATTAATCTTAAAACTTGAACCTCTTTATCCTACTCTAAGATTCCTCTAAGAATTAATCCTCTTCTTAATCCCTTTCTCTCTTAAATTTTCTTTCCCTACCTCTTCTTCTAACTTCCTATTCCTCGAAATCGTTAGCAAAAAAACCTTATTTACCGATACTATCTACTACTTTCGCTAATTCTTTAAAGAAAACATACTTACTTACCTATAATCTATATATACTATAGGACAGATGTAAGAAGTCGAGCTATTGTGATTATAAACATGTAGCTAGGCGGGGTCGAAAAAATAGTTTACTAACTGATCGTAATTTCATTCGCAATAGACTATAGATCCATGCCTTCGTAATCATCAATGTGTCGAGGAGTCTACCGCATCAGGCTTGTTGTTCCTCCTTCATATCAGTATCAACTGGCTTGCCATCAACATCAGCGACGATCACATCTCCATCACTGTCCTTGGCTTCGGCCTTGACTTCCGCATCCATAGCCTCCTTTAGCTTCTCGACCGCTTTCTCGACATCTTTTGGATCCTTGCCAGGTTTACCAGGCTCAGCCAATTCCACGTCCTCCATCTCGTCTTTTATCTCGACCTTGACGGGCGGCGGCTGCGGAGACTTGCTACGTCCCCTGCCCACCGCGGCCTCCATGTCAAGAACATGGCCCTGTCCAGGTGGTGAAATCGGTTGTGGCCCTGTATCCTCCATTCCGATGACATCAGGTCCGCGCGCATGAACTTCCTCTTCCATACCCTCATCCATTGGCACACCGCCCACGATCGGCTCTCTGCCAACTGCAGCTGCACCTCCTGCAGTCATGGATCTTCTTGGTGTCATTGGTTGTCCTACTGTAGATACTGGTACAACGCCAGCTTCCTGCTCTTGCCGGAGAAGTTCACCTTGAGTGACACCACCTTGTTCCCGCAGCTGCGTGTCAGTCGAAGCGGAGGACGAGCTGCTAGCATCGCTCTGCTCACTAAGCGTAGGCGACGCGATCGGGGACGATGAAGGTTGTGAGGCTGTTGCGCTGGAGATGCCATTTACTGTGACCGTTACAGTCTCAATACTGCCAGCGCCATGAGGGCCTTCAATGGTCTCGGTGCTTTCGCTATGCAGCTCGCCTTGTGACTCAGGTGCAGCAGGCGTAGGGCCAAGAGCGTTCTGCTGATTCCGCAGCCAAGGAATAGGTGTGAGTAGTGCTCCACCAAGACTCTCGTCACTGCCCAGTCCTTCCCTCTCGCTGATTCCATTTACTTGCGCATCGCCATTCGTGAGGAAGCCGCCGTTGATCGGTGTGTGCAGTGCAGGGAGAGGAAAGTCCGAGACGGGCGAGTTGACGGAGACAATGCGATCTAAAGCGCGTAAGTAGGCAGGCAGGAAGCGATAGTGCTTCTTCGGCCGCAGCGCCATCTCCGCAAGTCGCTGGATCGTGTATGGTGGGCTTTCGGCGAAGTCATATTGCAATAGTCTGGTAGATTGTTGGTACATGCTCAGCAATTCGGGCGGCAATGCGCCTTGTTGTGTCTCTGGAGGTGCGAACTGCGGCGGCGGCGGCGGCGGCCTCTCTTCTGTTCTCTGTGAGTCGGAAATGTCATAAGCATGAGGATATGGCGGTCGTCCTGCCGCGATGTCTGTGGGCGCGTCATTTTCTTTCGTACTGCTCTGACTGTTCGAGGGTCGCTCGCTGTCGCTGTCGATATCGGCATCGGCGTCGGTGTTGGTCGCGCTCGTTTCGCTCGTGGGAAGTTGAGGAGGTGGTGTGCTGGCGACTACTGCTGGGTCAAGATCCACTGAACGCCGTACCTCGGAAATGGCAGGCTGAGGCGGCGGTATCGATGGTATGGGAAATTCATTGTGTACGATCTGATTCGCATTAGCAGGCACGTCTCTCGGTGCTGGATTCTGATTCTGGTCCTGAACATACATCATGAAGCCGCTGCAGCAAGCTCTCTAGAACGCGAGGCCATTCAGAGCTGTCGCAAGTCAACTCAACGCCCATGAAGGCGCCCAAAACTTTACCTACATGTCGATTGATCCGTCTTCTGCCGCTCTTTCCAATATCTCCTCGCTAGAAAGCATTATACGAGTGGGATGTGCTGTGGCGCAAGGCTGTCCGGAAAGTTGAGTGGTAAGCTTTCAACGTGCAAGATGAAGGACGCGCATCCGAGGCTTGGCGGCCATTTCGTTGGTTGGACGTCATTGAAGACTAGTGTTTATGTGGCTCGAAGAGCCACAAGTAAAGGCCGAAGAGCTATAAGTAAAGGCTAAGGCGACGAGCAGGGTGGGGTGAGCTAGATTACTATTAGAAACGCTTATAGTAAGATAGTCTAAAATATCTAAAGTAACTACTTCCGGAATACGCCTATAGTAATTACTATCCGGAATACCTATAGCGAGTACTATTCGAAATATCTATAGTATATAGTTCTTTCTAAGTAGGAACGCTTATAGTAAGTACTATCTATAAGGCGTATAGTAAGTCTAATCTAAAACGCCTAAAGTAATTTTAATCTAAAATACTTATAGGAATTCTAATTTAGAATACTTATAATACTAAGTACTATTTAGAACGCGTATAGTAACTCTAATCGGGAGCGCTAATAGTTAGTACTACTATCTATAACGCTTATACTAAGTTTTATTTAGAACACGCTATATAGTAATTCTAATCCGAAACGTATATACTAAGTCCTATCCGGAACGCGTATAGTAAGTACTATCCGGAACGCGTATAGTAAGTACTATCCGGAACGCGTATAGAAAGTCTAATTCGGAACGCTAATAGTAAGTACTATTAAGAACGCTTATAGTAAGTAGTACTATCTAAAATACCTACAGTAAGTACTATTTAGAATACTTATAGCAAGTTATATCCGAAACGGTTATAGTAAATACTACTAAAAACGTTTATAGCGAGTACCCTATATAACGCCTACTACGAGTACCCTATAAAATGCCTATAGCGAGTACTCTATAGAATATATATAGCGAGTAGTACTATCCGGAACGCGTAGGATAAGCCTTATTTTAAACGCTTAGTATAGTTAGTTCTATATAGACCGGAACGTTTCGAACTGTTTATAGTAAGTACCTTATATAACGCCTACTACGAGTACCTTATAAAACGCCTATAGTAAGCACTCTATAGAATATCTATAGCGAGTAGTACTATCCGGAACGCGTAGGATAAGCCTTATTTTAAACGCTTAGTATAGTTAGTCCTATATAAACCGGAACGCGTATACTAAGTCTAATCCAAAACGCTTATAGAAAATCTTATCCGGAATATATAAAGTAAGTCTAAGTCTAATCTAAAACTAAATACTTATATTAACTACTACGAACTATTTATAGCGAGTACCCTGTATAGCGCCTACTACGAGTACCCTATAAAACGCCTATAGCGAGTACTCTATAGAATATCTATAGCGTACTACTATCTAAAATACCTATAGTAAGTACTATTTAGAGTACTTATAGCAAGTTATATCCGAAACGCTTATAGTAAATACTACTAAAAACGGTTATAGCGAGTAGTAGTATTCGAAACGCTTATAGCGGTTACTATCCGAGATATCTATAGCGAGTAGTACTGTCCGGAACGCTTTAGAACGCGCTATATAGCAATTCTAATCCGAAATGCTTATACTAAGTCCTATCTAAAACGCGTATAGTAAGTACTATCCGGAACGCGTATAGTAAGTCTAATTTAGAACGCTAATAGTAAGTACTATTAAGAACGCTTAGGCTTATAGCAAGTAGTACTATCTAAAATACCTATAGTAAGTACTATTTAGAATACTTATAGCAAGTTGTATCCGAAACGCTTATAGTAGATACTACTAAAAATGCTTATAGCGAGTAGCAATATTTGAAACGCTTATAGCGGTAACTATCCGAGATATCTATAGCAAATAGTACTATCCAGAACGCTTATAGTAAGTCTAATCTAAAACGCTTATAGAAAGTCTTATCTTAAATATATAAAGCAAGTCTAAGTGTAATCCGGAACTGGATACTTATATTAAGTACTATCCGGATTCCGGAAGGCTTATAGCGAGTAGTACTGTCCGGAACGCTTATAGTAAATACTATCTAAAGTGCCTATAGTAAATAGTATTCGAACTGTTTATAGCGATTACCCTATAAAACGCCTATAGCGAGTACTCTATAGAATATCTATAGCGTACTGCTGTCTACAACGCCTATACTAAGTTTTATTTAGAACGCGCTATATAGTAATTCTAATCTAAAACGCTTATAGAAACTCTTATCCGGAATATATAAAGTAAGTCTAAGTCTAATCCGAAACTAAATGCTTTTATTAAGCACTATCCGGAAGGCTTATAGCGAGTAGTACTATCCGGAACGCTTATAGTAAATACTATCTAAAACGCCTATAGTTAAATAGTATTCGCACTATTTATAGCAAGTACCTTATATAACGCCTCCTACGAGTACCCTATTAAACGCCTATAGCGAGTACCCTATAGAATATCTATAGCGAGTAGTACTATCCGGAACGCTTATAGTAAATACTATCGAAAACGCCTATATTCGAACTACCTATAGCGAGTAACCTATATAACCTCTACTACGAGTATCTTATAAAACGCCTATAGTAAGCACTCTATAGAATATCTATAGCGAGTAGTACTATCCGGAACGTATAGGACCCTATAAAACGCCTATAGCGTACTACTATTTATAGCCTATACTAATTTTTATTTAGAACGCGCTATATAGTAATTCTAATCCGAAACGCTTATACTAAGTCTTATCCGAAACGCGTATGCCCCACAGCAGCAGCAGGAAAATAAACTGCGAGAGCGGAACGCTTATAGCAAGTATGTACTAAGTCTTATCCGGAACGCGTATAGTAAGTCTAACTCGGAACGCTAATAGTAAGTACTATTAAGAACGCTTATAGCAAGTAGTACTATCTAAAATACTAATAGTAAGCACTATTTAGAATACTTACAGCAAGTTATATCCGAAACGCTTATAGTAAATACTACTAAAAACGCTTATAGCGAGTAGCAATATTTGAAACGCTTATAGCGGTAACTATCCGAGGTATCTATAGCAAATAGTACTATCCGGAACGCTTATAGTAAACACTATCTAAAACGCCTATATTCGAACTACTTATAGCGAGTACCCTATATAACGCCTACTACGAGTACCTTATAAAACGCCTATAGCGAGTACTCTATAGAATACCTATAGCGAGCAGTACTACCCGGAACGCGTAGGATAAGCCTTATTTTAAACGCTTAGTATAGTTAGTCCTATATAAACCGGAACGTATATAGCAAGTCTTATCCGAAACTAAATACCTATATTAAGTACTATCCGGAAGGCTTATAGCGAGTAGTACTATCCGGAACGCTTATAGTAAATACTATCTAAAACGCCTATAGTAAATAGTATTCGAACTACCTATAGCGAGTACCCTATATAACGCCTACTACGAGTATCCTATAGGACGCCTATAGCGAGTACTCTATAGAATATCTATAATACTAAGAATAAGTCTAATTTAGAACGCTTATAATACTAAGTACTATTCGGAACGTATATAGTAAGTCTAATCCGGAGCGCTAATAGTTAGTACTACTATCTATAACGCTTATACTAAGTTTTATTTAAAACGCGCTATATAGTAATTCTAATCTAAACGCTTATACTAAGTCTTATCCGGAACGCGTATAGTAAGTCTAACTCGGAACGCTAATAGTAAGTACTATTAAGAACGCTTATAGTAAGTAGTACTGTCCAAAATACCTATAATAAGTACTATTTAGAACACTTATAGTAAGCTATATCCGATACGCTTAGCCTTTCGAGTATACCGCCTCGAGTAAATATCCCCGGATTAGGCGTAAACGACTATATAGCCTCGAGTAAATACTACCGGATCGGGCGTAAAAGATATATACAGTATCGGAAATACTACTATTATAGCGGCGAAGCCTTACAATACATACTACGACTACTATGTCCTCCGAACCGGTCGCGAACTAAGGAGTTTTAACGTTCCTCGGATATAGCTAATTAGAGGCGGCTTTTAGATCGTTTTAAGCCGTACTAAGCCTAAAGTAGACCTACGGTTTGTTAAGTTATTATTATATTAGAGATAGCGTAACCGCGTAATACCGCCGCGAGCAAATACCGCCGGATTAGGCCTAAAAGTTAGATATACCCTTCCGGAATACTACTATCGCGGCGGCAACGCGTTATAATATAGACTCCGCGCAATACCGCCGCGAGCAAACACCGCCGGATAAGGTATATACGACGAAGACGCCCTTTTCGAGACTACTATCGAAGTTATAGCTCGTCGCGGTATATACTGCGACGTCTACGCCCTTCCGGATCGTAGAGGTATTAACGTTCCTCGCGTCTACTAATTAGAGGCCGCGGTTGGCCTATTTTAAGCCGCACTAAGCCTAAAGGGGCCCCAACTTTTGTTAAGTTATTATATTTTAGATAATACTAAAAAGTAATATTAATCCGGAACGCGTTATAGATATTAGAAAGCACTATTTAGAAACGCTTATAGCGAGCACTATTAGGAACGCTTATAGCAAGATAGTCTTAAATATCTATAGTAACTACTTCCGGAATATGCCTATAGTAATTACTATCCGGAATACCTATAGCGAGTACTATTCGAAATATCTATAGTAAGTAGTTCTTTCCGAGTTAGAACGCTTATAGTAAGTACTACCTATAAGGCGTATAGTAAGTACTACCTATAAGGCGGATACTAAGTCTAATCTAAAACGCCTATAGTAATTTTAATCTAAAACACTTATAGGGATTCTTATTTAGAACGCTTATAATACTAAGTACTATTCGGAACGCGTATAGTAAGTCTAATCCGGAGCGCTAATAGTTAGTACTACTATCTATAACGCCTATACTAAGTTTTATTTAGAAGGCGCTATATAGTAATTCTAATCCGAAACGCTTATACTAAGTCTTATCCGGAACGCGTATAGTAAGTACTATCCGGAACGCGTATAGTAAGTACTATCCGGAACGCGTATAGTAGGTCTAATTCGGAACGGTAATAGTAAGTACTATTACGAACGCTTATAGTA